GAGGTGACAGTTTCGGTTGGGGTAGCCTGTTGACTGGCTGATTGACCGACATGGATCATGGAATTTGGCCTAAAGTAGACTGGTGAGACCGTGGGGGAACGGCAACCGAGGCGGGATGTTGCCTAAAAACGTTAGACGACGGTTGAAAGTGGAAGTTGGCGCCTGTTAGGGCGTGATGTTACTGCCAAACAAAGCACAAAGGGCCATGTAGGTAAAATTACACGCCCGTTCACCACTTTTATACCCCTTTCCCCAAGAGCGAAGAATTGATACCAAACGTTGTTTTTCTCTCTTCCTTTCTCCCTTCTCTCTCTCTTTTTCCCTCTTTCCTTCTTTTAACCCTTCCCCCCTACCACCGCTATTCCCACTTCTCGCTACCTGTCATTCCTTTCAGCAGCGATTCTAATTGTCCGGCTTCACTCTTTTGCTGGCCTGCAAATTGCCTTCCGATCATTCACTTACTCAACCTCACATTCTCTCTCTCCCCGTACTCTTCAGTACTGTCCTGTCTTTGTCCTCTTGTTCTTTTTTTCTATCGCCCTTGCATACCTAGTTTGCGTTGTTAGTACCCGCTACGTTAGTAATATGTACGTGCCTGGCATTTCCTCCATGATTCGTTCGCTTTTCCCCTCCGTGCATTCCTTGCTCCAAGGGTTACGTGCCTGTTCTTGATCCCTTCGGTCTGTACCCAATTTTAGAGTACAATGTCTATCATCTGTGACATGATGGCATTCAATCATTGCACCATGTTCCACTACCACCACCCACACCCCACCCCACCTTCTGCCGTTTCCATATCATTCTATGCCCCGATATGTTCTGGTTTCATTTTCAAACTTCAAGGCACACTTGTCTCCTGTCTTCGTTGTCAATTGTCACTAATACCAGACACTACCAACAGCATAATCCGTTACGATCTCTATCAGGCCAATAAACAACCGACTTATTCGTTACGTCCGATTTGCCCGAAACCCGGTACTACTCACTCATTCAGCTCTCTCGACAGCATATTCAACAGGAACCTAAGCAACAGCCCTAATACGAACTATTATAATATAATACAATGCCTGCCATGCCCTTGATCAACCGTCGCAACATAAACGATCCCAACTCTGACGCTAACTACGAAGCAAATAACCACACCATGTCTTCGCTCCTCATCTCTCTGGTTATCTTGATTGCCCTTACCTTGATCCTCAGCTTTTCACTTTTTGTTCTTAACCGTATTCGCAAGCAGCGCAAGGCAGCCGGTACTTTACCAACATACGAGTCTGCAAACAAAAACCAGCATGGCCTGACGATTTCTACCCGCAATTCTACACTTATGTACTCCGAGAAGGAACAACTCCTCGACAACTCTTCTCCTATGCCATTAAGCCCTGAGAACGTACCTGAGATCAGAATTACATTTCCCGAAGAAACCGACAAGGAAACTGGTCGCAGGATCTCAAGAGTCATGGTAGTTGAGGTGGGCGAGGCCGGTGTTGGATTTGTTCGCCCTTTGAAGGAGGAGGCACTTCCGCCATATCAACAGAGATCGGATGATCGTTTCGCGTCTGTCGATCTCGAAAGAATTGGAGGATTGAAGGAGAAGGACACCCCAAGATCCCCATAAATGAGCACCTTGCAGGAAGGGGAATGACGACAACGTCAATTCTCTGACGACTTTTCTTTATTCTCGGATGAACTGCTTTTGTCTGCTTTTCGGCGCAGGTGTTAAGAAACGTACGGAGTCTAGTCCATTTTCCCTCACTCTGGCTATGTTTGTGATCTGTTTGTCGAAATGCATATTGGGTTTTATTTTCTGTCACGAAAGGTTCTTTTTTTTTCTTTTGGTTAAAGGTTGGGGGTTTGTTTCATACGTGGGAACGGAAACGGTAGACGGATCGGTGTTGCGCGAGAGGCATATCTCACAGCAGAAGCACCAAAGGAGAGTAATGACGGATTGACTCCCACCAGTTGACTGTTCGTGAAGAAACGACATCAAAATACCTCGAGGGTTTACGAACACTACATTCCGACATCGATCTTCTCTCTCCTCATTCAAACATACCGCCATACTTCATCTATCTCAGTTTACCCTCGTCCGCCGCTGTTGTTTATGTTTCACCTGTTTTAACGTGTAATAGCCCTTTACCCCTGCTAAATTCTCTGTAAATACATGACCTTAATGTTCTTTCCCCCGACTTCTATTCTACCTACTATATACCCGGTTTATACTATCCCACCCTTTACTTCTTCCTATTCTAGACTTAAAAGTCTGAATTGTACATTTGGAGGAGTTATTTTCTGTGGATATTGCTTTTTTGATAATTCTTGTCACATTCATTTTTTTTTTTCAAAGCCCATGGTGGGCACAGTGGTCAATTAGTACGGCTGTATTTTTGTATTTGCTGGTGGATCGGTCTTCAGGGGCGGGGGGAGCTGAGAAATTCAGATGTTCGTTTGTCTGCCAATCTGCTTGACAAGTGACCTGGCGTTCAAGGTGTCGTAGAAACCTGTGCTTGATGCTTATATGGCGGCGTTTAACCCGAATTTGGTTTACAGCTATGGATTGTAAATATGTGGTGGTAGTGGACTAGGCTAGACCTAGCTTTGTACACGCAGAGGTGTATCTGGAAATCGAGCAGGTCTCGAAACAGCGCACCACTCAAATCTAAATTGCGGGGACAAGCTGGAAATAGATTAGGTGCTTTGATTATGTATGTACTTCGTTGGCGTTCGTCAAGTTTCAGAAAATTTATTCTCGCCGATCGCCGGCGCTCGGAATCGCTGGTCAATCTGTCTCACGGCCGAGTGATGTTTCATGACTCGGTATTTAACATCAACAACATCGACATCGTCAACATTGTCAACTTCATTGGATTGGCGTTGTTTAAAGCAGCCTGTACCTACTTGTCCTGGTATCCTTTTTGAAGGCTAACGCCTCCAAAAACAACAGATAGCTACTATCTGGGGTCCCCTGGTACAGTATGAGCTGAAAAGTACACTGCTGAATTTTGGAGAGCTAGAGAAGACTCGCTGGCATATATTAGTGATTGGTATGAGTATGAGACTCTCCAAATCCGATCCTATCATGTAAAAAACTTCACACCAATGACAATTATTGCTTAAGGACTCCGCGAGACACCTGCAACAGTAGAAGGTGCCTATCTCCGTGTATCACTTGCTGAGTCACCACCGACGGGGTACTGGAACGCTCGTTTCTGTAGTTTCATGAAACATCTTCGGCGCCAAGAAAGAATCGAGAGCTGAATGAAGTCTCATAAAAGTCTCGAGACACCTCGGTCCCCCGTCCACCCCCACAGGATCGCCACTTCAAAAAACCAATCCCCCCCCAAGTTACCTGTCCTCCACGTTTGCTCTTCAGATCTAAGCACGGGAGACTTAGGAGACAAATACGTCAGTATTTCTCTGATCTATGCGTCTTTGCTGATCTTTATCTGTGCACTTCTGCGCGATCAAAATGGGGATTATCGGCTTTGGGCTTCGATCTACTTTAGCACGCTTTGTAGAGGCCACCAGCACGGAGCGAGCCTCCTCCAAAAGATAATCCTGTTTCCGCGGTTAAATACAATCTCTTTAGGCTAAGGAAGGAATTGCTCTACCTATTTTGGGTCTTGACAGCTGTTCGAATCCTCTCTTATGCAGCAGATGCAAGCCTAACCTTAAAGACTAGATGACATAATATATTGTGCTTTAGCATTAACAAACAAGTCCTGATACTTTAGTAGGAAGCTTACCTTAGTGTTTGAAATGTGAATAATATGTAGGTACAGACGGGGTGTTAAGGATATATCATTTATAGTCCTTTGTCGATCATGAAATCCAATACGATATATATGAAGTACATACTTGCGGCGAGAATAAGTTTCCGCCGAATTTGGCAGTGAAAATGCGGTGCAACACAAAAGTGGTGGCGGAAACTATTCTCGCAGTAAATACATCAATTAATTAATCAATTAATTAATCAACATATAAAGTACATATTAAAAGAATTTGTATCATGCAGTATCACTCGAGGAATGGGTGGATTGTTAAAGAGCGGCCATGCTGAGAAAACCATCACAAAAAAAATATTTCAAGAGATACTACATCACACATAGATGTATGTGCTCATCAGTATACATTGCAACCATGATGGTTGCGCAATGTGGTATAGGGTGGGTGCACTTAGTCACTACGCAGCTACCTAAGTAGCTCTTTTAAAATCTTTGTTGTGTAGTTGTCAGTATTTCCCTCAAAAAACATGGACTATGTGTGACTAGTAGCCCGCAGAAGAGTACCAACACAATACAATTATGTGTTTTTGTTACAAATCTCCCATAAACAATCAATGCCCCCCCCCCCCCCCAAATGATATGGCATGTAAATAGACCCAACCCAAAATTAAAAGAAAATATCCAAGTTTATCTTTTCCCTTCACCAAGCCCTCCTATCCGATAAATCCCTGTTCCCCTCATGTCCAGTCGATCATAAACTTGCATTCCCACTGTACTAGGACAGACACTGTCCTAAACAACCACACACTGATCCCGAGGCATGCAACAAAAGAGAGAAAAGACCGGATCATCCCACCTCCACAACACATTGAGCAAACAAAGAATAGTAATATTACAAGAAGAGGTAGTTGTATATGAAGAAGCAAAAAAAGAAACCACAAAATAAGGGATTAAGTTCCCACCTTATCCATCCCACACACATGCACCAAATCAATCACTCCAATACCCGCTAAACTTTTGGTTTTATAAGCAACGTTTAAAGAGAGAATAAGCAAAAGACCCCCTAAATGAAGAAAAAAGAAAGATAAGAAGCAAGCGAAAACAAAAAGGACGGCTGGCGAAAGTCCGTCAAGTTGCTGTCAGAATGACAACCCAGAGATTGATTAAAAGTGAAACGTGCATGGCTCTGAGGAATGGAAGATGGAGTTCGCCAATAATAAAAACCTGGAAAGGAATAAGAAAAAAATCAAACGCTTTTGAAAGTATCCCAAACCCACATCATGTGAACCTACTAAAGTCCAAACTCATCAAAAGATCCTCTGTCTCCAGATCCTTTTCCAGATCAGCACCATTTAGCTGTACAGAGTTTCTGCTGTAACCATGATCCGCCAAACTTGTTTGTCCACTCATAGTTGAGACTCTCCTGGAGCTTGGCATGGTAGGAGGACTGGCTGCTCCACCTATGGCACCGTTTCCGCCGCTTCCACCAACTCCCCCGCCCCCGACACTTCCCCCATTACTCAAACCGCCCGTAGCAGTCCTCTCACGCAACCGACTAATATTCCGCAGCCGATGTCTCCAGTTGGAGATATGTTCTCCGCCACCCTCATTGTAAACATGCGAATAGACGCTCGCACTCAACGCCAGATTCCTTACAAAAGCCGGGAGTGACAGATCTGAGACAATTTTCGTCTCTTGTGCCGGGCTGATATCCGAGAATCCTTCTTTGCGGCAGACCTGGACTCTGTAATATTTTTTATCCTGTAGTCCCTTTTTCGTCAAACGCGACGAAATAAACCCTGTCCTAGCTTCCGGTGTGATTACAATACTGACAAAATTGAACTGGGAGGGTATTGTTCCAAAGCGCCAGGGAAGACCAGAGTTGTTAAAAACGATGTTGACGAAATCATTACCGATGTGACGTTTCTTCATGGTACACTGGGGATCTTCTGCCAATGTTGGCATCATGGTAGTTACATGAAACACAATCTCCGTGATTCTGTCGCTCCAGAAATATGCAAATTGGCCGTCTAAATCATTTTCGCGATCAAGACCCCCGGTATTTCGGTCTGTGCCCTTGAGGGTAATGAGTTCTCCCAGTCCGTCTACAAAGTCAGTATAATCGGGTGATCCCATTTGGTTTGTCAGGATATCAAGTTCCGTAGACTGTCCAGGGCCGGCGTAAACCACACCAATCTTATGAAAATCGACAACTGGTATCCTATCAAAAACGTCCAACGCTCTAGTGGTTTTATCGTCCTCCGGGAGCAGTACTGGCCTAGTCATCTCGGTTGTTCCTATACCTCCAGCCAGCTGCAACAATACATGACTAGGTAGAATTTTATCCGGTTGCGTGTTTGTTTCCAGAGGATTATTTTCGCTTGGAGAGCTTGGCTTCGTGTCAAGAATGTTGACCCATTTCGATTGTAGAGTACTGTGTAAATCCCTTGATTCCGGCTTCATACTGTAGTAGCTTGTACCAGACTATTTCTACAATCAACCAACATTGCCCTTCTATATGGGGGGAGGGGGGCGGTAAGGGAGGAAGATTGTGAGAGAAAGAACTTACTGGTCTTCTAACAACGAGCCTTGCTACACCAGTCTCCGTCGTCATATGCACAGTTATGATACTTCCTCCGACCAACCAATTCTTCGTAACTATCGCTGCATCCTTGCCAATTTTTGCAGGGGGTTTCAAGTCAAAATCGCTAAAGGTGAACCTTTGCAACATATCCATACACGCTTGGCTTTGCTCGTCGACTGTATTGCTCTCGGCATGCAAGACCAGCCCCCTGGTGATCCAGGACACGTACTTTGGCCGCTCACTCAACCTCAACGATAAAAACCATGTTGTCAATACGTTGTAAGCAAGCGTGAGGACGTATTGAGGTAGACTTGGTTCAGTCTCGGGCTGGGATTGCATCGCCTGTAGAAAATTAGTTTTAGAAATTTCATTAGCCCAAGTGGTTAGGGGTAACCTACCCTCGTTGGCCCTGAGGCAGTACTCTCTTTTGTATGTTGGATGTAACGGAAAGCAATACCAAAGATATTCCGGAAGTCGGGTTCTGTAAAATTACTATACAGAGTAGGTAGCTTCGCCAATGCCAACAGAAACTCCAAGATATGTACACTGACGGCGGAGGAGGTGATAATCTGGGAGAGCTTTGTTAGGATACCTGGTAGGAACTTGCTTGTTGATCCTGGTAGTTCATAGCAGCATATCGATAGAGCGTGGATACATGGTTTGGCGGTTCTTTGCCATTTGTAGAGCCCCAATTGAAAAGCCTTAACAATTCCTTCAGTCTCATTTTTGGCAAAGTGTTGCTTGTAGCTGACCAAAGTCGTGAGTATGTTGATGAGAGCTATAGCAATATCGGCCTTCTTAACCTCTTCCGGAAGGTCCGTGTTAGGAATTTTATCTGTATGTAACTGATGACAAATATAACTTCTCAGCATGTTGATATGCGCTTTACAGTTTCGGAATGCTGTCTTATTGGCAAGCTGGGAGCTTAGGTGAACCAAGACGTAGCTGTATATTTCCCAGTCACAACCTTGCTGCATAATCGGAATCACTTGCTCCATCCATAACGACATTCTGATGCAAGTCTTTGGATCCAGTGACGGCCCTTCTTGTACTGGATAGTCCTTCGGTGGGTCGTAAAATGTGCATAGAATTGGGCTTGCTTCATACGAAGGCTTCTCTGGAAGCGCCTTCGTCTCAGGGTATGCCCAGATCGGTGACTTTCGTTTGGCGCGGTCATACTTTTCCACAACCGGTCGGCTCGGACTTCTAAATAGAAATGTCTGTTGCGATGTTTGGGATATCGAGTTACTTCTGTTTGATCTCGAAGATGTCGACGATGAGTCCTCCTCAGGCTTCGAAGGAGCCGGCGTTTCGTCCGGGATCTTTGTGATTCTGTGAAATACCGCTGCTAAGTTTTCTGACTCCGTTGATTCGACTAAGAAGATAGCATTCTCTGAGTCAGATCTGATTCTGAATAAAAGCTTCATAGCTGTTAATCGTGCATCGGCATCTATCGTTTTAGATCCTACGATCTGAATAATTTCCTCGTATGTCCGAGCCGTCTTTAGAGCATCGACATTCATGCTTCTCATAAATATCCTTACTAATCCTCGAGTGACGATGTTGACCGGGGAAGTAAGGTGGTGGTGATGTTGCTGGGAGTGTGGAATCACCGCAGGCTTGGGTCGATCGGAGGAGTTCTTCGGTGCTGTCTGATTTTCATTTTCCTCGTCCTCCTCTGGTATAGACTGATCATTCACGGGCTCCTCCGGTCCAATATAATCCACCAATATATCGAGACATACATTGAATAGATCTATGTTGCTATCCCCTGCAACATCTACTGCCAACTTAACTAATGCTTCCAAGACCTTCAAATCACCCTCATTCCGGAAATCTTCAAAAATAGAAAGAACCAATGACCGTAAAATGTCTTCCTCGCATAACTCTCTTGTAGTCTCATAAACATCCTTGATCAAAGATAGAACACTAATCCGCATTGCTGTTGGTCTTGATCGGGCCTTGAAGAATATATCAAGCAATTTTCTGCAGTTTTCTATCCATTCACCACACGATGGATAGCAAAGGTGTTCTGTGGCATAGTGATTGATAACGTACTCCGCTGCCGAGTTTGGTAGGTGTTCGTGAACACGAACGAAAAAATCAACTACTTCATCTGTCTGTTCGAACTCGGGGTTGCGGCACGCAATCTCCAACTGAGTTATGACCTGTAAGATGGCATGTGCTATAGCGGCGTTCAATCCGCCGTGCTCGGTTTTCTGTGGGCGCGAAGAGGTCTCATCTGCACCTGCACGGGCTTCTATCACCGTCCCGTCTGCTCGTTCTGTCGTTCTGTTTGAGCAGGCCACTAATATATCCAAAGGCACTGCCCATTCGTCGAAGGAGATTTGCGAAACGACGTCTTTACTAGCAAGAATAGCACTAATGGCTCTGCAGATTTCTAACTCCAAGCGTGCGCTATCAGCGGCAAGCGCTGATCGGAATGCTGACATGACAATAGGAAATTGCACTGGAGGAAGCCCATCTTGCTCGTCCGCTATTAAAAGTTTCTCTAGAAACCAGACAGCACCTTTGAGAGTGTTCGTGTTTGCATTAGCAGAGCTGGTAACAAGATTTTTGGCGGGCGTCTCGAGAATTTCAAGCAGAACCAGAACTGAATTATGAGCCATATAACTCTTGCAGAGGTTACTGACGGCATTCCAGGTAGCATCGGCAAGATCTCTTAGTGTGGCATAAGCACCACACAGTACCTCTATACAAGATTTGAGTGCAGCACGTGGGACGTAGCCATAAGTGATGAGAGCCTCGATAACGCCAATAGAACATTCGATGTCCTTTTTATGCGTTGTCTTTTTGCATATTTGAAGGACGTCCAAGAGTAGCTGGTTTATTTCACGCTCCTCAAACGATTTAAAGTTGAATTTGATGACTTGAGTGGTGAATTGAAACAATTCCCTCAAGTTAAATTCCGCACCTGACATATTCTCTGGATTACCTCCGTCCCGCTTGCGGATCGATCGTTCCCCAGTAGCTTCCTTGAACCAGTTCTTCAACCATTTGGACAACAGAGAAACCAGGTCCTTGTGAAACGTAGACACATCCCTTCCTCCATTGGTGAGCGCAGTCAGTGCCTGTAACTGATGATAGAAGTCATCCATGCAAACATGGAGTGCTATGGTACGGTAAATCTTGAGTCGATCTAGTGGTGAAGGTTCATGCTGCTGGATACATGCCGAGAGGAGTTTGAAAGCTGCTTGCCGAACCTCAGGTGGATTATCGGCGTCTAGTAGGTCCTGGGCATTTGCCCAGATTTCCGTTACAGTTGAAACCGGGTAATCCGCAATTATCGTTCTTAACGCCTCTGCCGCTGCTACACGATCACTCAGGGGATTGCTAGCCTTCAGTCTGTCAACCAGAACCTGCCCGCTAGTGACAGCATCTTCCCCGAAGTATTCCCCGTACAAGCTCGAACGGTGTCCATTACTAGTTATTGGTGCAGCTGGTGATGGAGGGATGGAGAAACCAGTACGATTCAGACGTCCACCGAAACTCCGGAATACATTCGCGATACTGGAAGATGGCTTGTTCGAGTCATGTAGCTGTGGCGGATCGACGTTACTCTGAGAAGATGAAGGCATTTAATTAAGTAACTATGAGACGATATGAAGTCAGCGTAAATGCCGGTGACATGAAGGAGAACAAAGTTTTCAGAGGAAACAATTTAATTGGCGTCATTCAGGGCCGAAAGCTTATTGGATCGGAGAAAAAAAAGGGTGTGCAGTGACAACGCCCAATCAGGTCACCTGATCGAAACAAAATGACAAAGAACCAATGATAGTATGGTAACGAACCTATCGCCCAAAACACTCGGGTGAGCGAGTCCTGCGCCGAACGAAGCGCGGAAGGATGAGAACACCACTCGCGGGAGAGAGCGGATGGAGGGGTTTGCGTAGAGGTAGGAGCAATCCGAAAGTTGGCGAGCGAGTATGATAATTGAAGTATGAAGTCGGTCATATAAACAGCATGGGGAGGGAACTGAAGGCGAGGGGAGGGAGAGGCGAAGATAAGGTGGAGGGATAAGGAGAAAGAGGTGGAGGGGTGAGGAGGGGTGAGGCCAGAAAACCAACCAGTCGGGATGATACTACGGAATCAGTCTGACAGATATGGGGTTATATATTTTATATTTTTTGCTTTGTGGCTAGACTATGCGGAGGGCGTACAACCAGGAGCGAGTCTAATAGGTGTTTAAAGTTGAATTTACGAGGCTTCTGCTGCTGCTGTTATCGTTGTCTGAAGTTTTATCTTCGATGGGGTTCAGCGAAACGGGAGATGGGAGGGAAAGCAGGGACCACTGAGGTGCAGAAACACCGTGCAGAGTACTAGTGGACTAGGGATGGCTCGTGGGGTGTTGGGTGCTGACTCGGAAGAGTGGAAGATTTTCCCGATCTTTTTTCCTTCCGACGTTCTTATTGTCTTCACTTTCTCTTTTGGGCGAGTTGTTGACGTGAATGGGGATGACGAACGGATGAATGAACAGTTAGACAGGTCAAAGACGGATGACTGGGAGGGATATGCTATGGACGCCTGTAATCATCTAAAGGAAACGGACAAAAAACAATTTCCAGAATCAATGACAGAGCCACTTTAGTGCGCCTCCACCACCACCGCAGGCACGAGGACGGGAGCAGCACTTGGCAGGTGAGGTTGGACGTGGGCGTGGGGTCTGTCACTCGATGTCAATCGTCACTGACTAGTTTAAACAGCATGATGATTGTCGGGTTAATGCCGGCTAAGTTGCCGTACTGGCATGTGCTCCGCGTGCTTCGTTTTACGCTAAATTGAGTACTCGCCAGACAAAGAGTGTACAGTCACGTCCCGACTCCCAACCCGCCAAGCAGGCCAGGCCTTTTTTTGAGCTCAGTAGCGGGGATATCTTTCTTTTCTTCTGTTTGTGGACGGTTGTCTTAGTTGCATCATTGTTTTCCTTCACGTCGTCCCACATTCTTCTTTTTTTCGAACTTAGGGACAACACCGATTTCATTTTCTCTAGCTCCCTAGGCAGATTGAAAGACAATTTCAATCCGGCACATCTAGCTCCTGGGTTGATCACTTATACCCCCACTAATTCTCTACATCGAACCCCCCACAACCAGGACCACTATCAATACTCTCCCGGCCACGATCACCATAAGCTACCCACATCCTGCACTGTACCATTGTCACCGCAACCAACCATGGCCTCAAACATTCAAACTATCGCCCAGCTTCTGGACACATCATTGATACCTCAGCAGAACAAACAAGGTAAACCAGCAACTCCACATCAATGTTTTTTGTGTTTATTTTTCCTGGGTTTCCGGTGCTTCCTGATCTTTCTACATCAATTTCCCCGCGCGATCCAAATTGTGGAGCATGTGTTTTCCTTTGGTCTAAATACAGCCCATAAATTCACCAATAGTAACTGACTGTCGCTTTTCGGAACAGCTGAGCAATCTCTGAGAGCCTCTGAGAATGCTCCAGGATTTCCATTGTTATTGCTGCAAATCGTGGCGTTCAATACGTTCGGCTTGAACACACGATTGGCTGCTGCTTTGTATTTCAAGAACTTGATAGGGAGGAACTGGACTGTGAGCTCCCGCGGATGACATTATGAAGTTGAATATCTCTACTAATCATGTTTTTGTATTCAGGATGAGGAAGGGCGTTACAAGATGAACAACGATGATGTTGTCGCCGTCAAACAGGAAATAATCGGACTCATGATCACCTCCCCACCAGCGCTCCAGGTGCAGTTGGGAGAAGCGATCAGTATTATCGCTGAAAGTGACTTTTGGCGACGATGGGATACCTTGATTGATGTGCATACCTCCAGACATCTAAACTGTGTATAGTTCGAGAAGTAACATTCGGCGCTTGTTTTTAGGATCTTGTCTCTCGGCTCACCCCCGACAACCCGCAAGTCAACAACGGTGTTCTCCAAGTTGCACACGCAATCTTCAAACGTTGGAGGCCGCTGTTCCGCTCTGACGACCTATTTGAAGAGATCAACCACGTTCTCGGAAAGTTCACAGAGCCTCTTCTTAAACTCTTCATAGTACGCTCACATATAAACTTATCAAACCGTACGAACGACTGACCTACGGATATAGTCCACGGATTCGCTCATCGAACAAAATGTCAACGATAAAGTAACGTTACAAGGCCTCTACCAAACTCTCAATCTCATTGTTAAGATCTCTTTCGATCTCAACTGCCAAGACTTGGCACCCGGTTTTGAGGAAAGTCTTACTGCCATCATGGGACTATTCCACAAGTACCTCACGTACTCCAACGATCTTCTTACGACTGATGATGATGACGAGGCTGGTCCACTAGAAAAGGTGAAAGCTGGTATTTGTGAATTGTTACAGCTGTTTACACACAAATATGAAGATGTGTTTGAAGAGATGCTCCAGAATTTTGTAAATTCAACTTGGGAGCTACTGACAAATCTTGGCCCCCAGCCAAAATACGATATCGTGAGTATAAGATCAGAATTTGATTTGAACCACGGGGGAATATGTGCTGATTGTAAAAAAAAAAAAAAAACGAACAGCTGGTTAGCAAAGCGTTGCAATTCTTGACGTCTGTTGCGGGATCAAGTAAACATGCGCAGAATTTCAGTCAAACGGAGGTTTTGGAGCAGGTTGTGGAAAAGATTATTCTTCCAAACATGGCCCTACGAACTTCAGACGAAGAGTTATTTGAAGACGACCCAATTGAATTTATTCGACGAGATCTCGAGGGCTCCGATAGCGATACTCGCCGAAGAGCAGCCACCGACTTCCTCCGGCAACTCCTTGAACAGTTCGATCAAAACGTTACTCAAGTTGTCTGGAAATACATTACCCACTACCTCCAAGATTATAACAAGAACCCCAAGGTGAACTGGAGGTCGAAAGATACAGCTCTGTACCTTTTCTCGTCCATCGCTGCCAAGGGTTCAACGGAGCGTAAGGGTGTTGTTCATACTAACCTCCTGGTTGATGTAGTCGAATTTTTCCAAAGTAATGTCGCAGCAGACCTTATTGCTCCATTTGATGATGTGGAGCCAATCCTCAAGGTTGACGCAATCAAGTACTTGTATACCTTCCGAAGCCAGTTGACCAAGGAACAACTGTCGGGTGCATTCCCGCTTCTTGCAAAACATCTTGCCTCGCCTAACTACGTTGTTTACACATACACCGCTATCACCGTGGAGAGGCTGCTTGCGATGACTGCGGATGGGCAACCGGTGTTCCACCCCGAAGATCTGAAGCCTTATTCCAACGATCTTTTGCAGCACCTTTTTAGACTGATAGAAGCCGGAGTTACCCCCGAGAAGATTCAAGAGAACGAGTTCCTGATGCGTTGCGTGATGAGATGTTTAATTGTAGCAAAGGATTCGATGGGTCCTCTTGTAGGGTTTGTCTTGGGCGAGTTGATCAAGATTACTGGAGAGATTGCAAAGAACCCCAGTAATCCGAGATTTATCCACTACCACTTTGAGAGTCTGGGTGCCATCATTAGGTATGGTTCGATGTTCAGAGTTTCAAAGGGCTCTTTCTGACAGCGCTTAGGTTCGTGGCCCCTCATCATCCAGAAGGTCTTGAAACCGCCCTTCATGATCCGTTTATGAGTATTCTTGGCCTATACATCACCGAGTTCATTCCCTACGTCTTCCAGCTCCTCTCCCTCCTTCTTGAAAGCCACCCTTCGGCACCAATCCCCCAACGGTATAAGGATCTCATCCCTCATCTCCTCGCTCCAGCTCTCTGCGAGTCCCGCGGAAATGTACCAGCTCTTGTCCGTCTTCTCCAAGCCATCATGGCGCGGGGCGCGGATCACTTTGTCCAAAACAACCAGATCTCCCCGATTCTGGGAATATTCCAGAAGCTTGTCTCATCCAAATTGACTGAAATCCACGCATTCGAGCTGCTCGAAGCTTGCTTCATTTACTTTCCCCTCAAATCTCTAGAGCCCTTCCTGAAGGATATTTTCATTATTCTGCTCACGCGTCTCAACGGCTCAAAAACCGAAGCTCTTTCCCAGAAGTTTGTAAGACTTTTTTACTTCCTGGCCTCTCGCGATGCGGAAGGTTGCGGACCCGACTTTGTCGTGAAGGCAATTGATACCGTGCAGGACGGAATCTTTGGGCAACTATATCAAGCCGTCGTTCTCCCGGATACCCAGAAGCTTCAGAGGCCCGTGGACCGAAAAATCGCTGTTGTCGGTTTAACCAAGTTTGTGGCGTTTAGCAGTGAACTTGAAAACCGTTATCACAAGACTTGGCCTAGCACTGTCATGGCGCTGTTGAAACTGCTTGAAATGCCGCCGTTGCCTGTCCAGGAGGGTGACAATGCGGCGGAGCTTGTTGACGCAGACATTGACGATTTGAACTTTGGAAGCACCTACACTAGACTGAACACTTGTAAGACGAGGGTTGTAGATATGTTCCCGCAGGTGACCGGTGACCTGAAAAAATGGTGCGGAGCGAGGATCAGAGAGGGGAGCGCAGCCAAGGGTGGAAAGGTATGTTTCTCGTCTTCTTCCTCCCTGCCAGTTTTGCAGAGTACTGACGTCTCGGTGTGCTGTTACAGGTTGAGGAATGGATCAAGGCTGAACTGCCAGAGGAGGCTAAGAACATGTTGCGGAACTATATGCAGTAGATTTAAACAAGGTGTAGGTCGTTTTGAAGCACGACAATGTCAGGTTGATATCAGGACGAGGCAAATGTTTTATAGAATGAACTAAAATTAAAGCCTGTTTGCCTCCTTTCATCGGATCTTTTTGCCATGCATATATATACCCCAGCGATGCATGATGTTATTCTCATGAACGATGTTTTGCCGGGTTTTAGTACTCTGGCAGTAATCAGTAATCAAATAAAACATACACTCCTTACTTGCTGTTGGAAATATGGACGGGAGTGAGAGGCATAAACTTGTATTGAGGTACATACTTGACCACAGTACAAATGAGAGTTCTTATATACATATATCCATATAACGCTTGATATACCAGACTCTCCAGCTGTTTACATCATCTACTATTTGTTGATCGTGGTAAGTCATTACGGTGGTGGATGTTGTACATTAACAATTGCATTGTTAAACGTCTCATTATGGGCGTTATTCCGGCCTGTCTATACTTTTATACTAGAGCCGGTGGTATGGCCTCTAAACTGTAACTAGAAAGAGAGAGAGAGAGAGAGCTCTCTCCTTCTTTCCACTCGTTAGTTCATACAATACGTTCTCTACATTCTCGGCTCTTTACTTTGCTCTGCAAAGATCATCTCTGCAAATACTATGGACACCATACTGACATTATATAGTGATTCATCATAGTGACAGCCACAGTATGTACTTTATCCCAGCCTCGGAGGCCATTTCACCGCTGAGCTGTAACCGAGTGATATCCCATGCCCGGGCGATCCAAAAGCTTGGCTCCGGGGGCTCCCACAAAGAGCTCGACCCCCCCACACCGCACACCGCACACCGCACCGCACCGCCCCCACCACGCACAACACCACAATGCCGCTCTCGCCCTTCCGCCTCCCCTTCCTCTACCCGGCCCTCCGCCTCCCCCGCCCCGCCGGCATCCCCCTCCGCCGCTGCCGCCACGGCACCGCCGTCGAGCCCACCCCCACCCCCGCGGACGGCTCCACCGCCGCCCCAAAAGACGACGCACAAGCTCCCAACCCGCCCACCACCACCTCCCCCAACACTACTGCACCCGCCTCCTCCTCCTCCTCCTCCTCCTCCTCCTCCAAAACATCTGATAATGCAGCCCCAGCATCACCATCACCCGCCTCCAGCAGCACCACCACCACCACCACCACAACTACCACCACCCTGGCCCCGGGCGAATGGACGCACCACTTCGACACCTACAACCTCGCCGCATCCCTCACCCGCGGCGACTTCCGCCCCGCCCAGAGCGTCACAATAATGAAATCCATCCGCAGCCTCCTCTCCACCAACCTCGAGATCGCACACACCAACCTCGTCTCCAAGAGCAACGTCGAGAACGAGTCGTACCTCTTCCACGCCGCGTGCGCCGAGCTGCGCAACGAGGTGGTGCAGACGCGCAAGACGCAGATTGATGCGCTGCGCGCGGAGGGCGCCGCGATCCGCACGAGCTATGACCTGCTGAACCAGAAGTTCCTGGAGGACGTGATGGCCCTGAAGGATGAGCTGAATGGCCTGTTTGGGGACAGGAAGATGGTGACTAGGGCCGAGCAGAGGGCCATGGAGAATAAGATACAGGAGCTGAATTATAAGATTACGGTGCTGTTTAATTCGGAGTTGAGGAGTGAGATTGAGAAGTTGAGGTGGACGACGACGAGGAGGGGCTTGATTGCGATTGCGGCGTTGGCGGGTATGTGCTCTGCTCTCTTCTTTTGGTTTTTATATACATATAGCCTTTTTTTTTTTTTTTTTTTCCCCTCTCGGTATGGAGGATTTTGGGGAGTGCTGACGCTGAACAACAGCTTTCGTCGTCACGTCAATCCGCATGAGCAAAGACAGCGCCAAGAAGGACAAGAAGAAAAGCAGCACCAGCAGCGGCGAGAAGCACACGAACGAAGGCGACACCCACGACTTTGATAGCAGGTTGGGCCATGCAGACTTACTGACCGAGAGTCTTGCGAACCCTGGGGGCTCGCGGTCTTCGTCGGGGGCCAGCTTTGTCTCGTTAGGTTGAGTTACGGGGGAGCAGGAGGCAGGCATGATGGCTAGCTAGTAGTGGTTTTTTTTTCTCTTTTTTTTCCCCCTTGCGTTCTGGTTCTTTGTGTTTGGTTTCTTTGGGTTTGAGATGATACTCTACTTATCTGTGTAAATTGCCTTTTTGTTGCTGTAGTTTATTGATTTGGCTTGGTTTGGCTGGTTGGTAGGGGCCTGGCGTAATAATAGTCTGGGCTGGATTTATTGGAACTAGCGGGAGGGAAGGCTTATAGGGTAAGGACTGGAATTACTACATACCCAGAGTAGAGTGATATACGGTGTGTACCAGACAGTAACTACCTCGCCCAAATCCGGTGTCAATAATCACGATTCCCGCGCCCGGCCGGTGTCAATGGCCGCACCCCACTTTCCCAGCATCTAAACAAAACTACTTGTCAATGATCAAACCACCCACTTTACTCTAGACCAAGATCACACCGCCCACTCCCCACTCCCCACTCCCCACTCCCCACTCCCCCACATACACACGCCACAAACCTTAAGCCACAGAGACTGTGCCACAGTAACGCACGTGCTTGATGCCGCGCGCGCGCGTTGACAAAGTCGCACAGCGGATCAGCGTGCGTGAGCCTCGGTTGCTCGTGCGGACAACACAACGGGGCCAACAAGAAGAGAGCTTTCCCCGGATTTGTGATTACAATATTTGCTGGGCCGAGGTGTTATCGGGCGTGGGGGAGAATAGGATAGCTGTGTGTCTGTGTCTATTCTATATCTCTCTGTCCCTGTCCCTCGTACACTATCTTAGATATATACCCCGTCTTCTGTCTGTCTAGCTCTCTCCCTACGACATATCTACAGAACGAGACAGCTCCAGCTAGACGTGAATTGGGGTATCAAGCAATCGTTTGTTAATCGACACAGACAACACCAACACCACACACCTCATCACACAATGTCAGACCCAATCCTCCTCGAAGTCAAGAAGGTGCCCTCTCCACATTCCACATCACCCCCGAGATAGCTAGCTAACAATTAGTCTTCCCCGCAGAATGTCGCGCTCATAACCCTCAACCAGCCCAAGAAGCTCAACGCCCTCTCGGGCACCCTCTACTACGAGCTCGCCCAGCTCATGCGTAAAGTCGCCGACATGCCCGACGTCACGGTGACGGTGCTGACGGGGACGGGGAGATACTTCTCGGCGTATGTCTTCTTCTTCTGCTTCTTCTGCACTGCGGTTGGGGTTGGGTTGGTTGGAGGCTAATTGGTGCGGTGTAGCGGTGCCGATGTTGCGGTGAATGTGGCGGATGGAGCGCCGGCGAAGGATGAGGACGAGCGGAAGTACTATCTGCGACGTTGTAGGCTATTCCCGCACTCCCGGGTGTTCTAGATTGGGTGTATTTGCTGACCAGCGTGGATAGTCGCCGCGAATAACTTGGAGGTGGCCAAGGCCTTCTACGAGCACCCAAAGATCCTCGTCGGCGCACTTAACGGCCCCGCCGTCGGTCTCTCTGCCGCCCTCCTGGGCGCCTGTGACTTCATCTAGTACCACCCCCCCCCCCCCCCGCGGGGGCTCCCCCTTCTTCTCTTCCGCCATAACATACTAACCCCCCCCCTCCTTACAGCGCCACAGAAAACACCTTCATCCTCACCCCCTTCACCTCCCTCGGCCTCGTCGCTGAAGGTATCGCCTCAACAATGTTCGTCCGCCGTCTCGGCTTCGCAAAAGCCAGCGAGGCCCTCCTCCTGTCCAAGCGCATCAGCGCCCCCGAGCTCGTGGCCTGCGGCTTCATCAACAAGCTCTTCCCCGCCGAGGGCTTCCGCGAGCGCGTGCTCGAGTTTGTGGACGACGTGATGGGTGCGCACCTTAACCATGAGAGTATGCTGGGCGTGAAGGCGCTTATGAGGGAGCCATGGAGGGATGAGATAGAGAAGGCGGGGGTTAGGGAGGCGTTTGCAGGGTTGGATAGGTTTGTGCAGGGCGCGCCGCAGAAGGAGTTTGCGAGGTTGGCGAGTGGGGAGAAGAGACATAAGTTGTAGATGGAGAAGGTGGAATTAGACGGCTGGCGGACTGGGAGGGAGGTGGTGGGGAGGGGGGAACGAGTGCCCAGATATCTCGCGCCGGGTGATCCCGTGTGCTCCGCTGCTCCCAGGGGGTAATAGAATAAATCGAGTGATATTTCATGATTCCAATCACACAAAGGTACCATTGTCTTGAAGTCCTAGAATTGAACCTCCCAACCTATCCACCCACCTTCCCAGTACATTACTTCGGGTGAGTAACCATGATGGATTCTCAACATTTCCTCACAAACACGTTTTTTCCTTACGTGCAGGGACCCCACACAGCGCCAACCAAGTATTTAATATAAGAGTATGTATCCCGATGTCATTAAAAAGATAAAAGCCCCCTCTTGGAGTGCTCTATCGGATGGAGTACCCGAATGTATATGTAGTTGTATCTAGGGCCGCTGGCTAGCTAGAAAGCTTAGACGAGTATGTGATCATGATCTCGAGTGATGCTTCGGTGTCGTTCGATTGGGAGCGAGTATGTAGTCCGGCCAGCGATGAGACTTTACGTCTCTGGGTCTCTGGGTAATTGACGGCATAGAGCCCGGCCGGGCGTATTGCGGGTATTTCTGGGGGTAGGAGAGACGTGTTATACGTGCCTTCGGGTGTGCGAGTGGTAGTGATGTGTTCTGGGACTTCTTGTAGTTGGAGTATGTTGCGTGCTGGAATGGATGTGTCTGTAGAGGTGGTTAGTGTGGTCCACGAGGACGGGCGTCCTTGTGCCCTGGCCTCGAGGACATATCCTCCATGATACACAAGGACAGTGGTTCAAAAGGATAAGGGGCCTCGAGGGGACTATCTGTTCCGAGTGTAGAAGGTAATTCGAGAGAAGTATCATTGATGATGATTCTATTCGGAGGTTCGGAGAGAGCCTCCACTAGTTTCCTTCAGTGTCATGCTGTTATCATGTCTCCGCCACGACATCCCCAACCTCTATTGTACACATAACTACGACTACTATCAACACATATCACTCAATCGCTTGCAAAAGGCTATGTATAGTACTAGAACAACCGTTGGGTAACTTATTCCTAAATACGGCTACTTTGGCTCTAAAAAAAAAACTGCACTAAGGCTATATGTGTGTGCATACCTGGGTTTACTAATCATGAATTATCACTCGGTACATATTGGCTGGGTTGATGTCCCCTCTCATCTTAGTCTCGTTATCATGCCCTACTTTTGGTGTGTGGTTGGAAATCACACAGCATAAGGGTGGTCAGCCAGGCCACCGCCAGCGGGAATACCGGATGGGTCTAGGAACGAGACTACTCTGATCATCTGCAGCTGAATTACCTAAAAGATTGGCCTTCAGGGAAACCCACCCCCACCCCCCACTCTTCGAAAAGGTTAACGTAGGGCAAAATAAAACAATGAGAAAATGAATAAATTAAAAAAAAAACTATCTACAAAAAAAGAGGAAGGAGGAGGCAAGCTGCTTGCCGCGGGGAATAGCGAATCGGAGTAGGCTAGAATACCATTTACCCATTGGTAAAGACGACCAAAGGTTACGCTTTCGGTCTGCAGGATTGAAGCTCAACAAGCATTTGACCAATCCGAAGCCCAATATTCCCAGTCCAGTTCGATTCGTTATGAATCCTGGGTTTTTGCGGTATTACCTATGAAAAGAAACCCTAACCCACTAAGAATCACTCCAACTGTAGTTTCGCCGGCCCCCACCCTCAAAAATGGGAGCGGGGAAACCGGTGATAGAACCATGTTTGCAGCTCAAAATGATTTTGAGTTGGGAGAATAAAAGGGCTCGGGAAAGATGGGGGCGTGCTGCTGAGGGGTAGCAGCACTATGGGGTTTTAAAGAGGTGGGGTGGAAAGTGCATATTTATAGTGATAAGGACATGCAAAGAGGGGATGGTTTTGGCCGCTCCGCTATCAGGAGAAGCCAGTACAGTCGACTCCCGTTATTGTGATACTGTGTATAGTGATACTCTCGCTATGAGGATAGTAATCGGTGGTCCCAAAATGCTGTTTTACCTACCCCTCCTTACTTCTTATACCTATCCCTTGGACGGATGAAAGTTGTTAAATTCGCGACCTGGTCAGTGTACCACTCATAAAAGAAATTGCCTTGCTTTTTACGGTAAATAGCAACAACAGAGCCAATCAAAAATTAGTAACAATTACCGCACAAGGCTAGTGATGGCTGAAAGAGGGAAGTCGCGAATTTGGCAAATTTCATCCGTCCAAGGGATAGTAATACTCACTGAGAAAAAAGGAAATAAAAACAGTTCCGGGAAAAGTCACAAAAAAAGGTCAAGAGTTTCGCAGTTAACGGTAATTACAAGTAGACTGTGTAGGAAGATTGAGGTCAGACTTCTAAAACAACAGGCAGTCTTTGTGGAATAGTGCTGCATACATCCCTCAATCTTCAAGACATGTTTCGGTACTGTCTATAGAACTGGTGCCCTTGAACTGGAGGCCATAACTAACATCTGCGAGGCCGAGTAATTGCGAGTGATATTTCATGACGGGAATTTGCGATAAGGCTTTTATGTGGTTTGTTCAAAATATTATAGAAACAGGCACCGTCGCTGTCTTGTTATTTATAATATCTATCTACAGGAACTTTCGTAGTGTGGCGGCAACCTAATACTCCGAGAAGGGGTGGTCAAGATCAACTATCGGAGATAGTCTTTTTACTTGCGTGCCCCCTGGATAAGCACCGTTTTGGGCAGTTCCATATCCAGTACAGTGTTGCGCTCCAGATTATGAATATTCTTGAATAGTGACGATACAAACCCTCTTCGAGGGCCTAGTTTGTGACACGAGAAGACACGAATCAATCACTATCATAATTGACAGGTTTAAAAACCATTATATGTCGATAGACTTAATCCTGTGGGTAAAGAATATGTGTCAAATTGGTAACCTTCCATCATGATACAACGAGAACTTTATTGAACTTTAGCGTAATGATTCATGAAATAAATGGCATGACAGGATGACCCACAGGTGAGGGTTTTTGTTTTTCGAGCCGCTTTTTTTCATAGTAAGATCAATTGATCAAGGCTTCGTACGAATTTGTTGTCATATTATGAGGTCGAATAATATGGCTGGGTTAGGGCTGTGACACACCAATCGGCAGAGTATTGGCACAAATGCACGTTAAACTTAGTGCCACCTACCAAACAGTTGCACATACCGTTTCAACTCGAAGTATCGGCTATACATGCAAGATCAAGATTACTACTAATACACTTCTGAAACTGATCAATAGCCTTCGACCAATCATTAAAGAGATAATCACTGCCTGGAGATAGCCAATTTATCGTTTTGCGGATGTACTTTGTATGGCACTTTGAGCGGGAAGCTGTCCGGAATAATCCCCACGCGTGCTCGTCCTCAGCCGACCATTAAGTACATACTCGATGCTGGTGGTGGTTGCATTAATTCCAGTCTTCCCTTGTTACGTGACTATGTGCTTATAGGGCATCTGAGATTCGATATCTCCCTGTAATCCACACCTTGTGATGCTTCTAACTATGTGCTCATGCTAGATCGAGATAAGCGTGGTATGAACGTATGCTAGATATCACCTGACTGATGACTAGATCATTTTGTGGTTTTCGAGCCTCGCCACAGAAGCTCATGGCGAGGATTTCAGTGCCGCCTTCCGGGAGAAATTGCTTTATGGGGTATTCGATATACCAGCATTTCTTATGTTTTTATGAATCCATAAGCCGCCTTGCAACAAGCCCATAACTTAATGCCTCGCAGGGCTGTCGTGTGTACCTACTATGATAAAAAGTCAAGTCACACATCCGTGCAGACGCGAAGCGGATGTACGCCACCTCATCAGGTACTATTTCTCGGAGACGTCCTGAGGAATGAAGTCGACGCTCTGACTGGTTCCTGCATGATTTAGTAACAGCCGTGGAGCTTTCTACCTCGAGATATGCCTACTGTATTTCCCAGATGCCAAAGGATCGCCCTTCAACTGCGGGTGCTAAATAGTACGGATACAACCCCCGCAATATATCAGCTTTAACATACGTCGCTGTTGCATGTGGTGGAGGCTGAGCTTCAGATCCTAGAGCCTACTGTCATGTCACACCGCAGAGAGTACAAGCAGAGTGATGACGAATGCATTGTCTCACCTGTTGTGGGGTTATTACCAAGGCTAAAGCTCGAGTTACTGTACTCTAAAGGAAATGAGCGCATGAGTGCAGAGTAAAGTACAATGTACGTACGGAGTACTGATAATGACTAGCGATAACGAACGCGGTTTGGTTGGCCAGTGTTGGTGGGGTGAGGGGTTGGGACGCTGAAGATCATGATCAATGACTCGGTTCCAAGATATCTTTACTAGTCGTCTCAAGCCCCCCAAATAACGTCGCCTTGTGCTTGTGAAAGCCCAGTTTGCTGCTGTTGTCTAAGACTAGATTTTAGTGAACTTTAAGTTCAGAGAATTGCACTTTGAAAACGTGATATGTTCCACAATGCAGCCAGGCCAAAACTGAAACATGCGCAGCGCCTCGTGGACGCTGAATTTATTCAAGCGGAGAAGTCGATTTGCCCAGACAATCCCCCTTGCGTTCTCAAGGCGTCCTCAGAGCTTTATTCATTATATCTCCTCAAGCAATTGGGTTCTGCGCATAGCACGGGCCGACGCACACGATGTATCGGCGTGCCATATTGCAATAGGTAATTCGATGTAACAACCGGCCGGCAAGCAACACCAAGGAAGGAGAGGTGTAAGTTTGAGCAGCACCTACCCATCAATGTTGTGCCAGGTGATACGAATGCACTTTGTAAGTCGAAACACACCAACACCTGGGAAAGTTCGGATGCACGTCGAAGGTTACGGTTACATTGCGCTACTACATGAGTAGAGTAAGGAAATGATTTGTCCTTCGTGATACATTCCACCATAGCTGATAGTTGCTTTGGAACTGACTGCGTTACCCTACCTGCGGGAACGGCTACCGAAATAGCAAGGCAAGCTCCGAATTCCGGGCCACCCAGAAAAAAAGGTTTCGGGCCTGAAGCTTTCTTTTCTTAACCTCCTTTTGTCTAGCAATCACTCGACAACAACCAGAAACCTCTCACTCACTTTCCACCCCAGTCGTTATCCCTATCTCCTATCTCGCCTCACATTCGCTTGTTTGTTGGTTACCTCTAGCTAGACAGAATTCCTTTTTTGCAGCTGTTGTTCGTTCGGAAACTCACCCCCTTTTCGCACTTTGCTTGAACTCAGGCTCAGAGAGCTCCAGAGATTAATTCCACACAATTTCTATAATGGCCTCATCACTCATCAAGCTTCTCCAGCGCAAGCGGTACCAGTACGAGGTTACATTCTCGCTGTACATGCTGACGCCCACAGAGAAGATCATATTTAGTACGTGTTATTCCCCCATTGCCAAACCCCCTTATCGCTGTGCTAACAAACCGCCTTGTAGACTCGTTCCTCTTTATCTTCCTCTCGATGCTTATCCTCGCTGCATCACTATACCTTCCTCATCACGTCCACACCATCGCCTCAAGGGCTTGGTTCTACTATGCCGGTGACGAGGATATGCTCGCTACACAACAAGGAACGGCCCATTCAGAGCTATGACGGGGAGCTAAAGGCGTTATGTTTTCAAGACGTGGGGGCCCGAGGAGAATGGAATGTGACATATATATGTGGAGCGGGTTTAATGGGTTAAATTTTTTTTCGTTTGGATTTAATGCGGGCTATATAGATTAATGGATGGATGGGATTTATGTGACGGGGGATCTACCTATTATACACTGCCTTACTTCAAAATATGCTTATATTTATTACTATTCGTTCCTCCGGGTTTATTTATAGGATTTGCAGTGTTGATATCGGGATTGGATCTTCATGGATACATGAATTATGGAGTTGTGCTACATGAACTTTTCTTCTTGCGTTTCCTTTTTTCTTTTTTTCCTGTTCCATCATGTTCTTTCGATTAAGTAAGGAGTCGGTAATTGCGGTTGATGGTAATACTTACCCTCATAGCATGACCGAGACCTCCGAGAGGATCACAGCCATCGAGATACATTTACCGATTCCTACATATGCTCCACGGCTGGATCGACGACCCGTGGTTGGAATTATAAGCGAATCTGGGCGAGCAAATGAGGCTCATTGCAATGTGTATCCGGCTCATCAAAGGAGTCAGAAAAACATGGCGTTTTTTTCTTTCTTTTAGTGAAACCTTGTGACATGTCGGCAGCACCGAGCATACCTAAGGCCAAGGAAAGGAATGTATCCATAGGGCAAGACAAGGGAAGAATTGTGTCACAACAGCTCTTAGTGGGTGCATATTTGTGCAACAGAACGAATAGATCGGGTTTGGCCATATCATAGGCCTGTTCACACCCACAGGAAAGTACCTACTCTAACTACAGGTAGGTACATAACTTCAGCTGTAGTTGAGAGTACCTACTGTGCCTTAAAACTACCAAGGTTTGTACTTCTATGTACCCTCCCCCACTCTTTACTTTCAGGATTTTCAAACCGCATTGTCGTACAAAAGCATAGTATGTACACATTATTATATCGGGAATAGTCAAATAGTTAGATATGAGACATTGTTGAACCACTACCTAGCTGCTGAGGATTGTATCAAGGATATCATCGTGCTATGCATGAAGTTTGATATCCCGATCAAACCCCCTCTACCTAAACTATTTAGGACTGCAACTCGGAAATCTGGCCAACTTATTACCAAACCACCGTTCTACAAAGAAATCAGCATTTAATATAGTAAATAGGGTAGTCATATATTACCGAAGCTAGTAGAGCCAGTGACTTCTGTGTTACAGGCCCTGAATGGCGAGCCTTGATATTTGGTTGTGCATTTTCCATTCCGCGTAAACATTCTGCAGAAAGCTGTGCCAACACTGCAGAATGCGAAAGCGAAAAAAGCGTCATGAGGGACTCTTCACGTGAATCTGCAGCTTTGTTGAGTAACGATATAACATTTCTATGTTTCAAATTAGTTTCATCCTGTAACGTCCACGTGAGTGCAGGAATATTCTTATTTTTCCTCCGAAAAGAAAGTGCAGTATAGTGGGAGCTTCTTACTCGGGAAGGGTGCATCCATGTGCATTTTGATCCTGTTTTGATTCTGGTCCGCCTGCTTTGAACGCACGATTCCTCCACACAAGATTGCAGATATCCATTAAAAATCCGTTAAAGTGATTCACATATTCTCGGGGGTATTCTTCTGGCCCAGAATCCGAGGAGGACTTTTTGAGAGTAAGCTCGAATGCACGTTTGTATCTACACGAACATGTTAACGGACGTTCTGAGATCATTGGTGTGGGGCATACAGACTTTGAAAGGATGCCAGCTATCCTGGAGAGCATCATAACGTCTCCGGCAAATAAAAAGATGTAAACCAATTGGTCTGGCGGCAATGAAATACGAAACAACCCATTCTGCCAGGGCAGCGAGGATGCACATTCGTAAAAGCAGAGTATCGCATTAGGTATTAAAGATGACCCAGGGAAAGCCTATGTTTCATATTAGCATATTATGCATTTCCTCTGAGCAATCAAAACTTACCACTTGTCCTGCCAAACATATCTGACTAACATGGGCCATGTACTTGCGTAGGGCTAGCCCTTCTACCTCAAGCATCTCGCTATTTCTATACGTAACCCTCCATTGGTGAAGAAGTTCGGTGTAAAAATTAATCAAGGAAGCGGTTGAGGAATCTATAGTGCTCAAACTTAGGTCGACCGGCTTGAAAAACCTATCATATAATTCTATAAAAGGTTAGCCCTATAAGCAGTTCGAATATCTGATGCATACCTTCAAACCCGCGAAGGGGCAGAAAACTCAGCAGTCCCAAAATATATTCTTTGTGACTTTTCCCATCCCAGGACTGAAGATATTGATACAAAAACCCCTCGACTGCTGGCAACAATTTCTAAATGGTGAATGCATTAGTTTAGATCCATTATTGGTTTCTTTGGAATTTTACTTTTGTGGAACGTGTATATTCTAGAATCTTTGATAGGAGTTTTGCTGTTCGATCGGCGCTTCTAGGAGTAGGTGTCTGAGATGATCGAAGCTCGTCTGATAAACATGCTGCTAGCCAATTGTTGATTCGTAAAATTGCCGCATCTGTTTGAGTCAGGTTTATCTGTGCCTTTCTGATTTCGATTCATCGGACATTATTTACCTGAAGGCTTCAATTGTAGTAGCTTTCGGAGAAGTGGGTCTTCTAAAGCCGCCACTAACTGATTCGGAAGCTCTAGTTTATCCAACTTATTCACAAAGTCATCTACATTTTCCACTTCTTCGAGAGTAACCGAAGCCTTTGCAGCAAATCAGTAAATACTGTTTTAAAAGTTGCTGGAACCTAGAACACTCACCTCAGTGGCGTGAAATGTATGCACTTCCGGAAGTGCTAAATGATTAGTTTTTTGCCGTTTTGTGCCTTGTCCGCCTACTTTCCTAACTATCCTAAAGGAAGAAGCCTCCGAAGGGCCAGAATAATCTGCTGCGCTTGACTCTTGTATCAAAAGTAGCTTCTGCATCCATTCAGGATTCGGATGCTGGAGACTCGATTAGGAATGTTACACAAATACGAGAAGACGGCATAATTGAGGCTGAACTTCACGTGACTCACCGAGAACAATCCAACTTTCGTGGGGGTGATGTCGCCCACAATCACATCCGGGTAATAATCTTTGAATACCTGGAGGAGACCATTTAGAGGCTGTTCGTTCCCCAGGTTCCGCTTAAATTCCAGCCTATTATTGTGTAAACGATAGCCTAAACGACGAAGATAATTATATCCAAGGAATACTTACAATGCTTGGATGCGGAAAGGCTTCACGTGCTTTCGTCTTGTCAAGAGAGAAAGAAGATGACACAAATGACTCCTGAATTATGTTAGAATTTATTTTGGTTTGTGCCTGTCGAGCTGTGTACCTCAAGGTGATCATGTCCAATAAGTTAAAGAGAACTCCATACAGCTGTGAAAGCGCAGTATAGCTTTCCAGTATGTCATATACCATAACCAACCAACGAAGCAAAAGTGCCTTGAATAGTCAGCCTCTTATTCAAGACCTCCACTATCAGGCATCGGCCAGTTGTACCTGCGTTGCTAGAGATGGTTTGCTTTGTCCTTGACCGAAGCACCCAACTATCTTTATCACGACATCCTCTGATACCTTCCTCTGTGGAAAGAGAATCTTAACGATATTGCTAATGGCTGATTGGTCAAGGTAGCAGGGCGTTTCAGTCAATATGCCGATAAGACTCTCCAATACATCATCGGCTAAGCCACGTACTGACGCGTGCTGAGAGAGCTTTTCAATCGCGTCCGTAATGTCACTTTTGGAAAGAGAATTGCGAGTTGAGGCAGCTGTATTGAATCAACAATCTGATCTGATTCTGAATTCGAACAGAACATCCCACAAACCTTCTCGCAGTTGATTGACCAACTCCTCTATATCGTTCTCGTAAATTAAACCGCCACCGAATTCTAGAATACCTTGGGTGATCAGCTGGTGGCATTTCAGTCAATTGGAGGACGCGTACCGTGGCTTGTAGCTGCTGAAGGCATTGGTAAATCCTTGTGGGTTAGTCGAAACCCACTCCTAGAAACGGGGACTACGGGTCTGGAGATCTAGCGGGGTAGCCACCAGCGGGGAAGTCGGACAACAGAATTGGGGATGTGTCGTTGGTGTCAGTTGTTTTGACGCGATGCTCGTCTAGATATGATTTCCCGCTTGAAGTTAGACAGCTTTACCGCCTTGTAACCCCAGCTCCGCGTTTTTGCGCTGTCTCGCATCGATTACAGTCGTCACTGTCGACATCTGAAACACAACTGACTCGCCGTCAGATGTAACCGCGATTCACTGGTACCACATTATCCCCTGCATCACGACTACGAGGTTCTATAATGCCTGCCCCCACCCAGTGTTACATTGGTTTGCATCCATGAAACGATTCACTATGTCCCTGTGCTCTCCAAGACTAAAGTAATAATTTTTGGAATCTGGGAATCACATTAACGTAAGGGATAGAATACTGCAAGCCCAAACAACCCCTTCAATCCCATTATGTACCAAACGCTGTTCATATTATTACTACGATGAAGTCGAATCCAAGGAATTTCCCTTGCAGAAAGTTCCCAAGATCCAAACGGAGAAATCATTCAACATGGCAATTTCCGCAATTGTGCGCACAACCGGGCAGTTGTGTTTACAGCTAGTAGTACTCGCGACAAGCATGAAGTACCCGAATATGCAGCTGCAAGTTTTTGGTGTATTTTTGACTTCTACTCCAATGGAAATTGCAGATTAGGACGTGCATTTTCGGGTACTTTTTACCTGCTGCGAGTACTCATAAAGACAATTACAACGTTACACAGCATATTTTGTGCCGGGTTGTTGACCCCAGGATAACCGTTCATGCGGCTTTTATCATATCATATCACAACACGCTCAGCTTCAGCGTACATACAGGTAGATACCTGGAAGTCTGCCCCAGTACCTGTGGTGTGAGGTCGGTGCATACTGTACAGTGGACCTTTAAACCCAATTTCAACAAAAGCCTTGTATCTTGCGTTGGGTTTCCACCCGAGTCATCGGACAAATGCCTACTCTCGTGACACCGCCCCGCTTGATTTGCCTCGTTCTAGAGAACTTTTACTACTAGTAACGTCGCCACAAGCCATATCTTGGAACTTTCGAGTGGGACGAAATACGAGAAAGGGAGAAATTGGTAAAGTATTGTACAGATGTCAAGGTCTCCGCTCTTTATTTCGTGTTTATTTTTTTTTACAAAGGATGAGGTAAGCCCTAGGCCTAGTACCACTTTAACTGGCACCAAGGTCAGCAGAGTACCTACTATCCATGGCAAGCATTCGGGGATGCGTGAATACGCGACAAGTTCCAGAGTTTCGGGACTGATAAAGGAAACCTGTACGTGTTTAGGAAGAGAAGGCAAAGGCACCTAGGTCTGCAACGGCGATCGACGTCAATATACGCACCTTGAGTTATAAGTGGAGCAGAAAATGACGAGATGCCCAGAGCCTAATCTGGGCACATCGACCGAGAGTCTCATCATCTCATGGTTGCTTCTTGCCCCCAATTTGTATATTTTACTACATATTAGGATTCCTCAACACCCCACTTGCATAGAACGAACGCTGGCTGTTCCGCGAGGTCTTACTCGGGGCCCTCATCTATCCTAAAAAACAATCATCAAGCCAGTCAAGACGTTAAGGTCGGCAACGCGGCTGTTGAGAAGGCGACTCCCTTCTCATTCTGTGTCACACTCCGTGCACACCTTATGTTGTGTTACCTGCGTTCGATATGTGTGTATGCGGTGCAACGTAAGTACGACGGCCTTAGTGCACAACTGAGCCGCTGTCTTTCTACCTAATTACCACTCACAGTACATACATGTACAGCGATTCACAGGCATTTGGCGAATACACCCATTTGGCGAATTTGTATGTAGCAACCAGCCAGCAACCAGTCAAACTGCGAGTTTGACTAAGATATCCTGATTCTTATTGGCCTAACCCCTGTTCGTCAAATGGGTGTATTCGCCAAATGCCTGTGAATCGCTGTACATGTAGTTAACAACATTCTAGGAATGTGTAGGTACATACATGTCGGGCGAGATAGGGATAACCCAATAGATTCCTAAACCCATAGTTCCGCTCAATTACAGTGGCTCATAGCAACCTCCAAGCCCTCTGTATGTGTGTAGACTGTCACTTTACCCACCTGTGAACGGCAAAGCAAGGTGGATCCTTCTCGGGGAAGCTTGTAGCCCGAGAGCCTTATTCGTTCTTATTGTACACGCGTCGCCGTCTTTGTGTTACCTTGCACACAATCAGTAATACCAATATGAACTGTGCTTGTGCTGCTGCTTCTGTTGTACTTGAACTCCTTCCCCCTCCCACTTTCCCTTCTTCATCCCTTTCTACCTCTGTTTACTTTCTTTGGTGATTCGAATCTTTCCTTCCTTGTGCGAGGGCTACAGTTGTAGTTATTTTTGCCCTTGTCTCTGTTCTTCCCTGTTGCGGGGGTTTATCGGATCTTCGTCCGCTGTTTGTGTTTCTGTCGTTGCGTCGAATTCGGCTGCCGGGCACCCGCTGGTAAGTTGGTAAGTGCGTAACAGCCTCATTTCCTGAGCCTCACTCGCCTACAGCGTCCTACATTATTTCGCACGCAACTTGGTTATTTACAGCGGACTTCCGAGCTGAGCTATCCCCTCTACTCTCCTCACTCGCATATTCTCAACATAAGGTTGAGTATACTCAGCTCCAGAGCAGTCCTTGCTACTCCTCCCCCTACAATCTGCCAGACTAAATTTCGACGCCATCTGTGTCGCACTATATTCTTCACGAGCAGCACATAAACCTCCCAAGCTATCAAAATATCTGTAAGCAGACTTAAGTAACCGACAGAACCTAAGCCTTGTAGCGCCAGTAGCAGGAATCGCAACAGTATTATGGCGACAGTTAGCCCTCCTTCATACATTTTAACGACCTGTTTAGAATTGAGCTAATTCTTAGCCAGACGAACGGTGAATATGCGCAGCCTCGTAGAAGTCCCTCCGAGCCCATTGCGCAGCGCGATGATGAAGAAGCAGCACGGTAGGTTGAGAGTTCGCTGGCCGCCCAGGTTTTGAGCGGTAGCTAAATTAAAGGAATGCCATTGTAGGCTTGTTGGTCAAATGATCATGGTGGGATTTGATGGACTTAGCGTTACTCCAGAAATCCGTATGATGATAGAAAAGTACTATGTGGGAAACATAATCTTGACACGAAGAAATATTCAAGGTAGGTTTCTCAGTCCCAGGTGAAATGCTTTTCTACATGATGCAATTTTGACAGTCTGTAGATGGGGTTCAATTGGCAAGCCTCACACAGGAGCTACAAAATATTGCACAATCTGTAGGATTCGATAGGCCGCTCATCATTGGAATCGATCAAGAGAATGGAATGGTATGCAGATACGGCAGACAAAGCCCTCTTTCATCCCGCCATGTAACAAGAGTCGTACTAATGTGACACACAGATCAGTCGATTAGGCGACGGAAAACGGGCCACTCAGTTCCCAGGCGCGATGGCTCTGGGGGCAACACGATCACAAAGTCAAGCTTTTGATATCGCGAAAGCGACTGCCAAAGAACTGGTCGCGGTTGGAATTAACTGGAACTTTGCGCCAGTTTTGGATGTGATCAATGAACATAATTCTGCTAATGTTGGCGTGAGAGCCTTTGGGGATGATCCTCAACTAGTAGGTGGTCACGGGGTTGCATTTGCTGAAGGTCTTAGGGCTGGAGGAATGGGTCATTGTGTAAAGCATTTCCCGAGCACAGGCAGAACGACAAACAAGGATGGCAGTCGGAGTTCAACCTTTAACTTCAAAGCTCGAGATGACCTGGAGATGACAGAACTAGTCCCATTTAGAAAAGCTGTTGCGGCAGGATTGGACAGTGTAATGTTGACCTCGTCTGTGTGGGAAGAGAGTGGGGATGGCGGCATGGCAGATGCTAAACACGTTATTCATGACGTATTGCGAAGACAATTAGGATATGATTGCCTCACTATATGTGATACTACCGACATGCCATCCTTCACCAAACGCTCAAATATTGGAGAAGCCGCTGTTATGGCAATTAGAGTAGGGTGTGACATGTTGCAGATTTTGGCCAAACCTGAGACACAGAAGCAGGCAATTGAGGCTATTTACGAAGCCATTCGAAATGGAAATATAATCAGAAGCGAGATCTACCGATCATCAGGGAGGGTCATGCGGTTTAAGCAACACTACTTGAACTGGCGGACAGCTCTTGCTACTCTGGATTCAAATCGCCTACCTTCATTGATGCAGGAACATCAATCTCTCGCACGAAAGATTTACGAAAACTCGACAACGCTGGTTCGGGATGAAAAGAACCTTATTCCATTATCTGCACGCATAAGGTCTTCAGAAAATGTTCTACTTCTTACACCAGTTGTGAGACCTCTTCACCAGAGGGCACCTGGAGACCCCCCAATAGATCCATTTGAGTGCTTTGGCAAGGCGCTTGCTCGAAAACACCCCAAAATTAGGCACGCTCCCTACACTGTGCATGGAATCACATCAACTCACGTTGCCCTCATTAAGAGAGCCTCAGCAGTCATATTTGTTACTGTAAATGCAAATAGGCCAAACACTAGCTACCAACTAGAGACTGCTGGAGCGGTTCATCGTCTGTGTCTTAACAAGCCTTTAGTAACTCTTGCTGCATGCGACCCTTATGATCTTTTGATTGATAGAACATGTAAGCAGAGCTTCGAAGTACATTTCATTTATATTATTGCTAATCATCATCCGCAGTTGGGACGTACATCTGCACATACGAATATTCGCAAACAGCTCTGGAAACGGCAGCTGAAGTAATAATTGGTGGACGCCATGCAACAGGTGTTCTTCCTGTCAGTATACCAGGCACATCTGCTCTGAGGCAACAAAAGCAGTGGTTCGTTGAGGTATGGGAAAAAAGACGAGACCTTTTTGCCTCAGCGGACTTATGGCGAGATTGCTTAGGGCGAAAATGGCCGTTGGACGCAAGCACGCTCAGTGCTCTGCTAGACCGTCCCGGACAATCGAAACATTTTGTTGTGCGTCACACAATGACAAAGGAGCTATTGGGACTCGCTGTTACGTACACTATTCAGTCAGGAAGGGATGAGTTAATTGGGAGTTTGGCCCTGCTTATTGTTCGGCCTACACATAGGTAAGTAATTTATTTACTTTCTAGATATGATAAATTCAGGCCATCCCAGCTAAGCATCGAAAACAGGAACTCTGGCATTGGAAGATCTTTACATGACGTTGCGCTTCGGCATCTATCAAAGCAGCCAGGAATGACATCACTTCAGCTTGGAAGTATATTTCCTCGTATATTTCCAGGTCTACCTGTAGACTTGCCTGCTGAGGACCTGTCTTGGTTTTCCCACCGAGGCTGGAAATTGGGAGACAAATTTATCTATGATTTAATGATGAAGATTGATAATTGGACGGTTCCTGAAGGTATCTTTGGTCCACTACAAGAAAAAGGTGTTTCTTTCAGCTGCTGTAATGCAAACCAGTTCGATGCGCTGCTTGACTTTGAAGAGAAGAATTTCAGCACCTACACTGGATGGGTGGAGAAATACCACTCGTTAAAAGCAACGGATGATATTGCAGACGCTATGATCGCCTACACAAGCGAAGGGATTGTCGGGGCTGCATTTATTTTTAGTCCTGTAGGGAACAACCAGATGTCTAGAGATGTACCTTGGCCGAAGGTAATAGGGGAGAGGGTTGGAGGGTTGGCTTGTTTAGGTGTTGGGCGTAAGTAATGGCTGTTCTGAAAGGTTCTAGGTCGTCACTAATCTTTGTTTTTCTATAGCTGAATATCGAGGACAGGGCGTTGGGTTGGGTTTGATTTGTGCGGCAATTTTGGAGTTGAAACAAAGGGGCATGCGTGCATGCTTTGTAGACTGGGTCGACCTTCAAGGAACCTACGAACAACTTGGTATATTCCATTTCAGCTCCCAAGTTTTTGAACTTTACTGATACGAGTTTCTGTATAGGGTTTGCCCAGTGGGGAAAGTACAGGGAGATTTGGCGGAACGTTGCATGATTTCAACTAATATATATTTCTTTCCGTTTTTATTTTTTGCATGGAGTGGGCATATGACAGATTAAAAGAGGAGAAGAAAAGGAGCATGGAACCGGCGCATTTGACGGGATATGTGCCCAATAAGGTGCACATAGACCCAATCTTTGATTTAAAAAGCGGCGTTTTTTTCTTTCTTTCTTTTTGTGGGGATAAGGGGTTTTCGGGTTTTTCCTATTTCAATTTTTTCCTTGGATACTTTCCTATCGTTTGCTAGGCTCTGGAACTTGCCCTCAGCGCCTGGCACTGTATAGACGCTTTCTGTAATTGTGTAAATATGTAGATATTCTTGATACCCAAACGTGTTTACTTATAATACTCCCGGTTAGAAAATTCAGTTAGGGCTGGTTAGGGTTACTCTCGTTGTGCCCCACCGAACCATAGCCAACTCCAACTGTTACGACTTTTATTAGTTGATTGATGCTGAAATCACGATTTATCACTCGTTATGTTGCGCGCTAAATCGTATGTAAGTGCAGGTCAAATATTTGCCATCTGGCTTTTTGATCATTGACCCTAGGCTTTCAGTCTACTGGCCTGTCTAGTGGCAGCTCTGGAATAATCTAGCCGTCAATCGTCACTGTGGGAAAAAGGGATAAGGAACTTTCCTTTCGGGGTTTGCAGATTCATCTGGAGCATGATTATAAGGATCCGAGAGTAGAGTATGCTCGTATCATTTCTTCTAAGCAGGGGCGTACAATTAAAGATTAAGGTGTAATAAAAAAAAAAAAATTCTCTATGGGTAGTGATCGATTAGAATCAAGTATCTACTGTTTTATAGATGCCGAGTTGTCTAGAAAATAGGATACCTTTCCCGTCGCTATTCCATGGTTGTATGTTCGTGATATTTGTAGTGTGGTGTGGCTACCAATATTAGTAACAATCTGCAGGTCGCAATCGGGGAAGGAGAAAAAAAAAATCTTTATCCAAACTAGTGTGACCCCTCCAAGACCTAGAAAAAAAAGTCCACACCTTTCAGATCACTTCTCTTCCGTACATGGCGGGGAAGCTGCTATCACAATCGCTTGGATACTTTCAATCGAACCTTCCAGTAGAGGGCAGTAGGAGGAGAAGAAAAAGAAGAGGGTTTAGCGATGCTGTCATCATTGCTATCACGACTGGCCCCACGGCATGTGCTCTGCAGCACAACTCAACGCGTCTTCCCAACACACAACGCCCTGTACCTCTCCACCACCACCACCATCCTCAACGCAAATACCGGCGCCTCGCCAATAAATAACAAGACCAGCAAATCACCAGAATACTACAGGCGTAAGGTCAGGAAGCAGACGTTTTGGGACGTTCTTCGGCAGAAAATGGAGAAAATGGAGAATCCGGGAAACGAGGATCCTTACGTTATATCCGACTCGGATGGTGAAGGTATGCTGGCGCATGCGACCAAGCTGTCGCTAGAAAAGTCACCAGGGAAGAGTTCGGGTAAGAGAAAATCGGAGGCTATCGTGATCTCGGATGATGAGTCGGACGGACAGACATCGAGTAGGAAGGTGGCGAAAGGAAGCAAGGCAGGGCCCGCGAGTGAAGGTGGTGGTGGCATGTCGTCGATGGGTATGGATAGAGCCCAGATGGAACGTGAAAGGCTTGAACGCTTGGGACGGGGCTACCTGGTATCTGCAACAGGAGGGCAGCAGAAGAGCTTTGGGGAGCGGGAGAAGCGGGAGGATCGTAACCTAAGCTCATCCATCAACGGCAGCGCAGCGGCGGCAGCAGTGAAATCTCCCCAGGGAACCGAGGCAACCAGTTCCGATGCCAGTAGTTCCGTGGTGAAGGGCGAGGGTCCCAAATGGACTAGACCAAACCCGATGAATCTTCCATTCCCTGGGGGTGTTGTTAAGAAAACTTGGGTACTTGGCCAGCCGCGCAATGGAGATGATATCAAGTTTGAGGAGATCTTTGACCCAAAAACCATCTACGGCGCTGTCCTATCTGCCTACCAGTGGGACTTTGAGTGGGTATTCTCCAAGATACCGCCAAAGAAGCTGCAGCGATTTGTCATGGTCGTGCAGGCAAAGCGCGAGGAGGACAAGGAGCAGTATATTTCAATGTTCAAAGAATTCCCGCGGGCTGATGCTGTCTTCCCGCCTATGGAGGAAATCAACTCCATGCACAGCAAGTTGCAACTTCTCTTCCACAAGCGCGCAGATACGGGCGACGATTGGCTGCGCATTGTAATCCCCACGGCGAATCTGACAAGCTATGACTGGGGCGAAACCGGCACCATGGAGAATATGGTCTTCATCATTGACCTACCACGCCTGCCTACCCCAAAGATATCGCATCTGCAGTTCCCCAAGGAGCTCCTTCGTTTTTGCCAAGCACAGAACATACCGCAAGACGTTCTTGGACGTTTCTCTCAGTACGATTTCTCGGCAACCGCCCACATGGCTTTCATCCACACCATCGGTGGCGCCCATTACGATGAAAATATCCGGCTCAACACCGGATACCCAGGCCTCGGAAAGGCAATCAAGGAGCTTGGATACGCCTCCCCGAAGGGCCACGAGATTGACTTCGTCACATCTTCCCTCGGGGCGACCCATAGTGACTTCATTATGAATATGTACAACGCAGCCATGGGCTGTGACGGGACCTTAGAACTTGCACGACGCCCACCGACCCCAGAACCGAAGAAGAAGAAGGGAAAAAAGAGGAAGAAGACTCCGCCGCCCCGGAGGAGTAAGTCGGCGCAGGATTTGGATGAAACAGCATCCGAAGAAGAATCTCTGGAGACCGATGAGGAGGAGACCTCGTGGGCGCGCGTCAAAGAGCGCTTCCGTATATATTTCCCCAGTCGCGAAACGGTGCGGAGGAGCTTTGGTGGCTTGAATGGCGCAGGGACCATCACCTTTGTTCGGGATCAGTGGGAGGCACCGACATACCCGCAGAGTATTGTCAGGGACTGTGACAGTGTCAGAACGGGTCTGATCATGCACAGCAAGATCATGTTTGTGAGACCCCCAGTGCAGCTAGAGACGGCCGGTGGGAAGCTGGATGCATGGGCCTATGTAGGCTCTGCCAACCTCAGTGAGAGCGCCTGGTAAGTGACTCCAAGGATACAAAAAGAAGCTTGAACCGGCCAGGACTAACACACAACAGGGGCAAACTGATCCTTAACCGCGCAATCGCCGTGCCAAAGATCAAGATCAAATGCAAGAATTGGGAATGCGGTGTCGTAATCCCCATCTTTGCCCGCCCAGACCAATCCAACGGCCAAACCCTCTCCGGCGAACCAGTCCCCGGACGCACCGAACCACTAGGCCTAGAGGTGTTCGAGAAAACCGTCCCGGTCCCCATGGTTACGCCAGCAGAGCCACTGGGTGATGACCGCAAACCGTGGTTCTTCGCGGAGATTCATGCACTCAGGAGGAAAGATATAAAGGATCAGCAGAGAATGGCGAAGAGGCAGGCGCGCGACGTGAGCTTGGAGAGAAGGGCAGGGCGTCAAAGCCGGGACCCGGATTATCGGCCAAAGGAGGCATGGCCGCCGAAGGAGTGGTTTAAGAGAGGTAGGAGGTCTATCACCCCTAGTTAGGTGTGGCGTTTATACTCGGTGGTGGGTTCCTATATCAGGTGCAGCGGGAGTCTTCTTTTTTTGCCCTTTTTTCTCCTCTGTGGGCTGTGAATTACACAGCTGTATTTGTATCAGTATTTTATATGGGGGGATATATGGGTGGTTAGTAAAAGACCGAGGTGAAATGGGTTAGGGGCGTTTTAGTGGCCATGCAATTAGTTTAGTTCCTTACATACTTGTATTTTATATCTTTTACCCCCCCCCCCCCCCCCAATCCTTTCTATCTCTCTTCCTTCTTATAGAACCAATATTGGGATTTTGGTATCTGAGTTGAATATGGTGGTATTGTTTATGGGAATATATCTTTTAGACTGCACTGAAGACTGGTTTAACATTATACCAATTGAATATCAATATTATGGTTTCCTGAAATAAGAGTTTGGCCTACAGTAACTGGTCCGAGATAATTCAATGTGAGCTTCGTAGATTTGAGCTTAACCTTTAAGGTGGTCCAGTTGCACCAACCAGTTGTAGAGCTACCCACTTCTTTTTTTTTTTAGTCAGTTGGTATACAACCCTAACCCTGACATGATCATTGACACTGGCCTCGGTCCTCGGTCCAACCGGCAATTTAGACACTGGGGTAAACCCACTTTACTCAAGGCGGCGTATAACTCCCTGTATCTAGGTACATGCTTACCTTGTAAGGGAGCTTTGCGCTATCTATGGAATCTCTGCTTGGCTGCAAGAGTTTGTAGGATAGCTCGAATATGAGCAGGAGTACATCGACTGCGGAGGGTGTCGTTGGGCTCCTGAAACTGGCACGTCAAGCGTCCGGACATGGGCAGTCTAATAATACACTGATACCTTGAACTACAGGATAGAGACCACTGAGTTTGATGGATGGGTAGAGTCCTCAATTGGCTGGTGGTACCTGGCCTGGAGTGTCGACCATTGACTGCGCGGGCAGACGCAGTAGAAGACTCGGGGACAGGCAATCTGCAGATGGACTCTCAGCGCCCGTACTACTGGGACTCGCACCAATATCACTATACGTGTCGAACATGACCAGTTTGTGTGTGCGCACGAAAACATGGCACTACGATCATTGACCCTCGGCACATTCCGCTGTGGAATTCTGGCGGTGATGAATTGCTGGGTTTATCGGCAGGTTTCTCTGGCTCGTCGGGGCTCGTGGGTCTTGTTGCTTTAGGTTGGCTTGCGGGGAGCGGTGGCTCTGCCGGAAGGGTGGGTAGTGGGGTGGGTATTGCTCTAGCTAGCTTGGGCGTCTGCCTGTTTGGCTTTCATTGGAGTCGGAGTAAAGAGCTCTGCTTGGGGCGTGAGGGAGTACCCCAAGATTAAAGCCATAAGTCTAAACACAGAGGATCGGTCAACGAGGCCCATATTCTACTTTGCAGGAGGCGCCAACTGCGAGGCTGGGGGGTTGAAAGCCTCACCGCTGGGTCCTTGTTAAGCTCCAAGTCCAGCATCACGAGACCCAATACATACACTTAGATAGTGAAGCCGGTGCATATATGTAGGTGAAAGTTCCCTCAAAGCAGCGGGCACTCTAAGAAAGTAAGCAAGTGGCCAAATTCAATAGACTGAAGGTGTCTTGTAGAGAGCCGTTGGTAGTCATACGAGGAATGTGTACAATGGAGGTTAAGGATGTCGTGGCCGAAACGTGGTCACCAGTGGAGTATTTATTTAGCGAAGTTCGTTACGAACCTCCTAATCCAAAACACCTCCTGTATGGCTTTCTACGGGGGAAAACGTTATCTAGTATCAAGCTCTCCACAGCTTCGTCTTACGGCAGGAGACTTGGTAGGGTGGCATGTTATAGACGTGTGTGTTTCTGGAAGGTTGGAAGCCGTGAAATTCCCACTGCCCCTAGAACACTTTCTAGCTCTCGAGTCCCATTGCATACCCAGCTAAGTTGATTTTATTCACAGTGTCAGTGTCAGTGTTCCTCTCTCTTTCCTAACCTATCTAGTATTCAGAAAATTAACGCACAGCAGGGGCGGAGGGCAGAGCAACATTGAGTCATCTGTGGTGGTCTATAGGGCACGCCAAAAAACATCTCATGAACGTTCTGCTCCACTCACGATTACCACGGTAAGCACCGGCCGTGGGCAAGGATACCCCTGCATGCCCTGCGGCTCCCAAAAGCTTAGCCCTCTTGGCGGGCTGGCCCCCACCCACCACGTCATACGCTCGGCCATCGTCCCCACATGGAGCAAGTCGACAACATGCAACTAAAAAGGTAAACAAATAAACCCCTATCTCCAAGTATCTCATGTAAAACCCCCCACACATTTATATCACCACGCCAATATGTCGCACACGCCCTCCTCCCCCCTAGCCGCGCCAACCCCCCGCACCTATCTCCCACCCTCATGCATGCCCCCGACCGCCAGCTCCCCGCCACAGCAGTTAGTATGGCTTGTAAGTTTCCCTCCCCTCCCCTGCTTTTAACAGTACTCACAACGAACACAGGTCTTCGGCGCAACTGGGCACCTCGGCCGCTCCATCTGCCGTGTAGCGCTCAAGCGCGGCGATCTCGTGACGGCGGTCGGGAACCGCAGCGTACCCGGTGAAGAGGCGAGCATGGAGGGGTGGCACAAGAACTGTCAGGGGCTTGTGTGTGATGTGAGAGTTGCGTCAACGGTCAAGGAGGTGTTTGAGAAGAGTTTGGAGTGCTGGGGGAGGGTGGATAGGGTTGTTAAGTAAGTTTGCACCTCCTCCGTGGGGGTTGGAGGGGGTAATGATCGAGGTGCGGGTAATGATTGATGCAAGGTTTTTTTTCTGAGGGAGCAGTTGTACGGGATATGGTAGGTGATTCTGTGCTATGATGTGACCTGCCTATATGTTTGTTTGCGTCTGAAGACTAGCTCTTCTGTTCTATCCCATTCTACTCTACTCCGTCCAATCAATACAATCCCGCCCAACATTACCCGCCACCACTAACCCCCCCACGCCGCATAGGAATAATCGGCGCCTGCGAAGACCAAGACACCCATGAAATTCGCGCCCAATTCACCACAAACACGCTCGGCACCCTGCACATCCTCCAAAGCACGCTCCCCTACCTGCGATCGCGCCCCGGCGGCGGCGGCCACTACCTCCTCTTCTCTTCCACGGCCGGCACCCTCGGTATCCCCGGCCTCGGCCCCTACTGCGCCACCAAATGGGCCATCGAGGGCCTCGCCGAGTCGCTCATGTACGAGGTCGAGCCGCTCGGAATCAAGGTCACCATCGTGATCCCGGGGGTGTCACGCAGGGACGAGCCGGACGAGGCGCTCCATGGGCCCGCGCCCATGTGGGGCCACTTTCTGCTCAAGCCGCCCGAGGACGCGTATAGAGCGACGAGTAGCCCGGCGCAGCATGCGACGAGGATGATTGACTGGTTGAAGTATAGGGAGCCGACGAGCGCGGTGAGGTGTGCGGAGATTGTGTGGGAGGTGAGTTTGGTTCTAGAATGGGGGTGAGGGGAGGGCGGGCGCTGACGCGGAGGGGTAGTTGGCGCATTGTGTGCATCCGCCGTTGAGGCTGTTTATTGGGAATCATGCGGTCGAGGCGATTAGGGACCGACTGAGGTCTACAATTGAGGAGGTTTGTTCTCCTTTTTCATCTTGGAGTATATCGGGGGGCTAGAGTTCGCGTGTGCTGATGTGATTGGAGTAGATTGAGGACTGGAAACACCTCAATTACGCCAATAGAGACGAAGACGGCGATGGGAACATGGGCGAGGGCGCAGAGTAGCGACACGTATAGACTTAGAACTTAATGATGGGGGTGAGTCGGGAAACCCGTGAGACTTTTGGTCTCGAGAATTGAGAGAAAAGTCTCGAGGCATCTCGAGACAGCGTGAATTAGCATAAGCGAGGTAATACTAGTATATTTAAGGAAATAAGTGGGTAATTCTGATGAGAGCACTCTCATAAAATCGTCTGTTATAATCCAATAAATTGTCAGAAAAGGAAGAGAACCCAGCAGAATGTTGACCTCAAGTATCAACCCTTTTCATATAAATTTTCGTAGTGTCTACAACTAGACCTGCCTGTTGTTCTTTCCACTCGAGTTTTTATAGCAGCGTATATTCAATACCAGACTGGATTAATGTGGTTGCAACGTTCTCATGAACCCATGAGCTAGAACAGGCTCATTATTGCTGAGAATTCTCAGACTTGGCGAGTGCGGTCTCGAGCAGTCTCACCCCCATCACTATTAGAGCTGTGGCTTTTTTTTTTGTTGTAGCCAATGTATCTGACCAGGGCAGAATCTGGTGTCTTTTCGTAACGTAAATCATGCAGTGATATTCCAAATGAACAAACCAACCAACGAGTGAGTGAGTGACATTCCGACTCGGATCACACACCATCACTCGCACCAAAGCAGGCTAGTCTCTTTACGGCAGCCAGTATTAGTAGCGACTATAAAAAAAAATAGTAAGCCCACCAGCAAAAAAATAGTAGTAGTACATGTAGTACTAGGGGTGGGCCACCTCGCGACCGCGAGTTGTGTGCGCAATTTAGGCAGCGGAAATATTATATTAAATTAGATATAAAAAATAATAATAATAAAAAATAAAAAAATTAAAAGATAAAAAAAAATACTTGCAAGGTATTTAGGGTCCAAAAGAGTTGTTGGTGCAACAAAGGTACTTAGCTTAGTGGTAAATATCTGATACATGTCCTCAATGTTATGGGTTCAACTCATGGCGGGAGCGCGAGCTGTGAAATTCAGACGTTAGTTAGAGGATGTGTCATTGATAACCCTATAGACGTTGGTATTTATGCCTCCTATAGGGAAGAGGGTTGTCCGCTTGGTGAGGCTGGGAACAGTCAACGATCCAAGAGTGTAATGCTCCGGTTATTTACTCCATCCGGCAGTCTGTGATAAAATTAATAAATTCACACGATCATAGACGGGGAATGGTGTAAATAACTGGGGTAACTCGATGCAGTTTTTTTCTACTAATCGCATATCTTTTTAACAACTTTTTATCACTCTATTACAAAGAAACCATGCTACAAAACAACGATAAGACAGGGAATAAGACAGATAAACGCTAAGAAACATACACGCTAAAGAAAATACAGATTGCTAACTAAATACAGTCCACCACTCAATTCCTTCCCGCTTCCTCCACATTTCCTCCCACCTACTATGCAATTTCACCCACCATCCCGTATCCAACTCTATCCTTCTCTCCCATTTCCTCCATGCCTGGATCCTCCCCACCATTTCCGTAAGTCATTCTAGCTAATGATTTGGTAAGCACTTCCGGGTGGTACATGATCGGTATATATACTTACCATTCGATACCCAGTCCCCCGACTTCTTGCATTCCCCCCATCCTATATCCAATACCGTAACCGACCCCTCTTTCCCTTCCTTACCGAAAACCTATAATAAACGTTAGTGTCATATACCAAACTGTCACCTTGCGGCATATACATACCATCCACACAGAAATCCACCTTCTACCACCTCCAACCATATACCCTCAAGTCCTCCAACCGGCTCCAGCATAAGTCCTTTCTACCCTAACCGACAGTCAGTATCAATAAAAATATGGATTAAGGGGACTTACTTCTTTACAGCAGCACTTCACGGTATACAATGTTGTCCGTTTGCGGCGGCGTCTCATCTCGTTGCAGCACTATCAAGCCAGCTACATCTGTGACTCTCGAGAGCGCTACATAGAGCTGCCCGTGAGTGAAGGGATCAGACCTCAAGTCAACCCCAACGACATCCAGTGATTGACCCTGCGATTTATTGACAGTCATCGCAAAGCATAGCCGAATAGGCAACTGCCTTCTCATTAATGTGAAAGGTAGATCTCCCTCAGTGGACGAAAGTTGTATACGTGGTATAACCTTTGGCTCCCCATCAAACTCACCACCCAGAATCTTGGCTTCAATGCACCGTACACCCAGCTTAGTTACTGTCATTCGTGTTCCATTGCAGAGACCTTGCTTTGGAAATCGATTGCGTAGAAGAGTTATTGGTGCTCCCACCTTTAGTTTGATGATAGACGGTGGGAGGCCAGACGGATTGAGACCCTGCAGATATTCTGGAGGTAGCAGATTTGCATTCTCTTCTGAATTACCACTGTCAACAGTGTCTACCGAATAGTACGTGTGCACTTCACCTTGAATTTGCTGTAGAACTCTATCATTAAACTCAGCGACTGTATCGTTTCTCATCGCTAGAATCGCCCGCTTCGAGAATGCGGTGTAATTTGTTGGGCTGATTCAATTATATGCTGTGGGAATACATGCATACAAAGGTCCTCAATTGTCTTACAGCTCTGGATGTATGGTGGTAGAGTTATTCTACCATACCATCGGGAATCATGGCTCATCTGCCCAAGCCAAGCCGCAAACGCCTCATTCTCAACGCTATTGTGGACCCTCATATTGATCTTGAGTCTCAATATCTTGAAGTGCTGCCATAAAGAAGACCGTTGTAGGCATGCCTGCACTATCTGAGCCCTATTACCGCGTTGCACAACTGGTAAAATCTGTGCAAAATCCCCTGCGAGTACGACCGGAATATTTCCGAACAGGCAATCATCCCCCACACTACATATATCATTCAGGGTCTGGCTGACCGCTTCAAAGCAATACTTGTTCTGCATAGGTACCTCATCCCAGATGATCAGTGCGGTCTTTTGAATCAAACCGACCAACAGGCTGCCCCGTTTGATGTCACATGTTGAGCCCTCATGGATAGCAATCGGAATTTTGAATCTGGAATGGGATGTTCTGCCTCCAGGGAGCAACTGTGCCGCTGTAACGGAGCCATTTCAACTGCCTGGTGTATGAGTGCACACAGGGCCCGGTTACATGCTGAGAGTTATTGTTAGAAGCCAGTTGCACGGTGATATGCAAGTACCGGCAGTGTGGTTAGCTACCAGCTGTTAGAGTAACTACATTCCGGGCGCTAGGAAGAGGATCTATTCATGGGAGCAATGACTGACGAGTCTATGCCTCGCCAGTGTCTAGAAGACCGGCCAGAGTGAAGCTCTGATTGCCCGGTGATCCTCTGTATCCTCGGAGCATTGTTTGTCCGCCGAAGCGGCAGGGACTATGCTAGGGAAGTCTACAATAAGCGAAAGCTCTACAGCAATAATTAAGCTTACACCTGAGCGGCAGCTCATTCATGCAGGTCCTCGGTTGTGTGGCAACCAAGGCTGCAGGTGTTACAAAGGCTTTGACTAAGGGTGGTTGCCTTGGGTATCGGAAACACCTGCTGACGCTTAGAGAAAAGCGGGGTAGCGGTGGTATTGTTTCCGGTACTGAGGGAAGGCCCACTGGAACTTAATAAAGGAGTTAGGAGCAGAGAATAGAGGCCTTCGGAGTATAAGTACTCAGGTTCATTCTCGCCCTTCAGTCCTGTTCTCTCAAGTCTTGATCAGAAAGAAAAAACAAGTTCTTATCGGTAGCAGAGCCCTTAAAGATTATTGAGTTCTAGCGATAGTATCTTTGAATAATCTGCAACCTGATTGTCTATCTTGCACGGCCGTCTCTATTCTATACAAATCTATTCCTCTTAGAAAGGACCCCCGTTACAGCCGCAATGCCAGAAGAGGCAACACAAAGCACAATCTTACCCTGGGAGCGGAAATGGTTACAGATAACGTTGTATAGGAACGTTTTTCCAGTACCTGCAGGCCCTTGAATGAAGAATAGGGCGGACGCAGCTTCTTCAATACTGTGTGTAATAGTATTAAAGCATTCCAACTGATCTGAATTGAGTTGTGTGATCCTCAACTGTAGACTTGCCGCTTCCGCAACCATATCATATCGTAGTTCTGATGCAATCATCTCGTTCCCAACTGTTCGGTTCCAATCCACTATATAGAGGGGCAACCCAAAGTCGTTAAGCGTTCTGTTGGAGTCGGCAAGAATCTGTGATATCAGGTAGAGACCATAGTCCAGATGGGCATCCGGAAGCTCAGGGGGGATAATGAGACCTGTGTTTCTTTCCATAGCTCGGGGCAAGTCATCGCAGATATTTGACTTGAATTTATCCCATAATTGCAGAGGTTCAGTCACGTTGCCAAATAGCAAGGCAGTGGTGAAGAGTGTACGGAGGGAATATCCGCTCGAGAATATTCTTGCTTCGGTAAAGCACTGCACCCACTCTTGATCATCGTCCAATAAGCCAAGGGCAATGCATGCAGCCTTGAATGTAGGATACAGCACATTATTGACAGTTTTCAGATAATCAAAAGATTTTGCGCCAGGGATAACGGTTAACAGTAGATGCATATAGTATTTCTCTCCCATCATAGGATTGCAATGCCACATACGTCCAATAGCCACACCTCTCTTCCTGGATGCCCACTTCCGCGATTTAGCGTCATAGGTAAAGTACACCGGGAAATCTTGATAGAGATACCGGGTACCATCCTCGTGCTCTGTATTGTACTCAAAATAAGTCATCAGTGTAGTTCTCGAGTTTTGCATCCTCTGTATCAACTCCTCCCGGTTGGAGTTATCTCCATAGTATACCGGTTGCTCGCCGGGCAAGTGAACAGCCAAGTGAATGACTGATGGGTATTCTTCGTGCATTCCGTATTCGAACAAACGCCATACAGCCTCAGTGGGTCCTATATAATGCCCTTGGAGGTATCTAGTAATTTCATCCGAGTCACTCCCTACTTGAAGTGTTGTTCGATCTGAACCTTTATATATATATTTGTGTATATATTTTATCGCGTGGATAGAACCACAGATCTCGACATTGATATGAGCTTTATACCGTAAAGAAAGATAAGGATTATATGGAACCACCCATCTGTTGTCCATCTGATACTCTTGATTAAATCCTGAGCCCCTTACTGCCACTGAAAAGGTTCTGCCATCATTACGTCTTCTATACAGTGGATAGCCATCCTCCTGTACAACTGTCTCTGATTGATAGGCCTTAGGGTACCGTTTGGAACATGCAGTTGGTCCCCCATTCTCCTTTGAAGCCATGCAGGGCGATCGCATATTGGCCTCTCCACATGGACCGTGTACCATACAACTTCTAATGATTGCATTTAGTTCCCCCGTAGGATCAGTCGCGGGGTCCGGTAACTCTGGACACACAATTTCGTCGATCCTCTCTGCTGTCAGAAAGCGATCATCCGGATGAAGGAATATCAGTAGATGCATGTGTGGCAGCCCTCTCTTCTGGTACTCAATGGTCCATACAGACCCAAGATAGCGACCAAAGATGTGTTTACGCTTTATTTCTTGGAGGAATTATTGTTGCTTGAGATGGAACACCCTTGCAACTAAATCTAGCCTATCAACAGCAGTTTGCCCCGGTAGTAACTCCGCAGTAATCTCTTCCCACTTTGGATTCGCGGTAAAGGTAACAAATAGTGAGGGACGCCCAAAATGACGGACTATAGCCATGGAATCCTGGAACAACTGCAGCATGTATCAGTCGCCTCCTGTATAGCTTCATGGTAGAATGATACGCTTCCCGGTTTGTTCCGGGTTGAAGTCCTCTTGCCGCATATTATCCGCCAACCCATTATACAGATCAGCCCGAATATTTGCCTGATTCAGTCGAAGCCAATTCAACTTATTCTGATCACAAACAGCCCAAGCATCTACCAAATACTGCTGAAATAGGCGTTGCGAGAGGAACAAAGTCATGGGTTCAGTCGTCCTGGTATGCAGTCGGTACCTGCACACCATGTATAGTAATCAAAAAGTTAGCCATATCAAAAAGTCTTTGAGCTATTGGTGTTTATAACTAACCTGTAAAATTCGCGTTGCTGTAACCTTAAATTCTTCCGTCGGTTCAACTCATCCCGCAACCGTAAGTCCCAATGCCAACCCCTCTCACCATTTGGAAATAGCAGAACATAATGTAAGGGCATATAAGCGGCATGATTAGGATCAATTATACTAAACTGCCTATTGGCATCTGGATTTCTATGTGCTAAGACAATATCCCGGAATCCTGCTTCACCATATTCATCCGGGATAATCGCAGCGACTTCATTGCTTGTAGACAAATTGTGTCTCCGCTTGTCCGCTCCACTCTCCACTATCAACCGCAATTGCGGATTGAGTAAGACACGTACATCCCCATCTTGTGAGGACGCAGCTTCCAATCTCTCTTTTGCCGTCTTATATAGTGGAATGAATGGATTGACTATTTGTATCTCTTGCGTCAACCGTTCCAAAACCGCAATATCTAGAGTTGGATGTCCATGGTGCCTCAATTGTGCGGCATAGAGTGGGTCATAGAAATATAACTGAGCAAAAGCGGGCGTATCGTTTGCTGCTGCAGTGAGAGGCCCCTGAAGGTGGTATAGCTCCCCATGAATTTGGAAGCATGTAACCCCCCCAGCTTGACGGTCGATGCGTTCATCTGAAGTATATTAAACGGAAGTAAAGGTCAAAGCGGAGTTGTACTCCCTAATACGGCTACGGAACTGTCTAGCAATTGTATCAGTTGATTCGAGGAGCTACCGTAGGTACTCGGGGGCTTGTTCCAATGCCAGCAATTGAACATCGCCTTTCTTGCAACAATTTTCAAACCGCGGTAGCGTAATTGAGCTCCCATGCACGCGCTCGTTAAGCCAATGTAAAGCTTGACATGATGGACAAATCACTGTCATTCTGCCTAACTCCAATGGCGTCCAACGGGTTCGTGCCGACTGGAATGCTAATGGTACTGCAGGTTGAATTGGCGGCCGAAATAGCTGCCATAGTATCTATTAGAATAACCGCCCCGAGTAGTGGTATTAAGAGCTATGCTATAACTCACCTCTTCATTGTTCGAAATTTGTTGCCGTCTGGCTTCGGCCCGACGATGCCTACTTTGTAGCGCGCGAGCCTTATAATACGTTCTAATCAGTAGAATTCAATTTAAAGTATTCAATTCAAAACTCACCAAGCATGACCGACATGATTTACGGGGCCGGCCATTTCTATCGGAATCATAATCCGTAATATTTTTATTGTGTTTGCTCGTTGTGCATTTAACCGTCGACATCTTGTCGAGAGAGCTGGGTGAGAACACTATGGAATGGTATATAATGGAATTTGTTTGGCTAGAGAGCAGATAATTCAATCGAAGATATTGATTGTTAAAGAGTTGATGGTATTTTATTCAGTAGATTTTGTTCAGTAGATTGTATTCAGTAGATTGAATTTTTGGCAAAGAGTCCGGTCCCAAGGAGTTGTGTATGTTATCACCCAGCTCCCATAGACCCACCGGTGCAAAATAGGGGGGTTCCGGCCACTTGACGCACCGGGGGTTATTTTCAGGGTCGAAAACGGGTTTTTTTTGGTGCATTTCCGCAACTCCGCAACCCACACTCAGAATCCGTACCCCAAGGGTGCAACGGGCGCGACACCTCAAATTCAGAGTGCACCCGCTACCTGCAGGCAGGGTAACTGCACCGAATTAGGCAGGGTAACTGCACCGAATTAGGCAGGGTAACTGCACCGAATTAGGCAGGGTAACTGCACCGAATTAGGCAGGGTAACCGCACGAAATTTGATGTGTCGTGCTTACTACACACCCCTGTCGCTCTCGACCAATCATATTGCAGAGAGTTCAGAAGAAGTGTATTCCAGTACATATTAGATTAAGACTCCGTAAGCGGCCAAGTGCGGGGAATAGTAGACTGCACTAGACTACAAGTATCAACTAACCCCCATCTACCAACTCACCCCAACTTACCAAACCCCCCATCTATGTACCTACTACATGTACTATTAACGTCATCCCAATTCGGCCACAGTCCTGCATACATACATGTATCTAGCTGTGCCGCCTAATGCTTATCTAATTACATATAATTACTCCCCCTCCCCTCTACTTCCACCTCCATCGTCCCCCATCTCCCATCCCCGCTCGTTGCCTTGTTTGCCTTGCCTTGCCTTGCCTTGCCTTACCACACTACACTAGGTACTACATTCCACTCCACTGTCAGACGAATTGAAATCGCCACTAGCTAGCAACCGGTTCTACATGCAGTCTAGTGTGGTAGCTAGGTAACTCAGGTACACAAGGCAATCTCGTTTAACAGGTACCTACATGTCACTAGCGCATACCACGCCGCCGCACGACTGCTGCTGCTTAATCTCAATCTCAATATAATATGTACCTAAATCTTCTAGATCTACCAGGTATAGGTACATGTATGTATTATTTCAAAACTAGCGAGCCGTTGATTTTTTATTTTTGGGGGGGCCTGCGGACGGGAAACAGGGTGGCTCCTGGCCGCGGTTCGCCAGATCATGTTACCATGCCCTAGCTGGCTCCATGGCCGGCAGCACAGCCCGAAGGCGTGGTGGGTGATCGGCTAGGCTGGGCTGCGTTATAAGAGCCTGTCTTATAGGGACCTGTGCCGATTATCTACATACCTGCCTCCTTACCTATAGCTATAATGCACGTTTCTTATAAGATGGGAGGTTTTTTTTTGCAGTGGTCAAGTAAAATAATGGTTTTTTTTATGCCAGAAAACACCTATCACTACATGTATACGAAAGTTTATATATGCCCCCTACCAAGAAATGCAACCCTACGGGAAAAAGAAAACGATGCCGAGTAACGGCATGCATGCATATATTGAGAGAGAGAGAGGAAAAAGAAAATATAAAAAACTGTCAGAGTGAGAATATATGACTAGAAACCTGCATATCGATATGCCGGTAAATAGTATAGGGCGGGGAGGGAGTTGTTCCTGTCAACCAATTTGTATCTTTGCCCTATTAAATAAAATAATATAACCAAATCTTTGTGTTCTCCATATTTTAGTTCCAAGAAGAACCTGAATAAGAGCCCGATATGTGTTACGAATACCTAAATCTCCGGGCTCGAAGGAGGGCTCGTAACATGAGAACTTGGAGACGAAGTATCCGACTCCGACTCCGAATCCGATATAGCAGCCGGCGAAGCACCAAAGTTCGCCGCATAAGCAGGGGACGTGAAATCCCACAGCATCACCGTCTTATCGTCCGACACACTAGCGAAAAAACACGGGTCCACCTGGATCACAGAAAACTCAGCATGCCACAAAACCCAGAGTATAAAACATCAACTTACGGCTAAAGCATTAACATCACCCCTGTGCTCAAAGGGTCCACATATAGGAGTTCCATCTTCCCCAAACAACCGGACAGTCTACCTATTATTAGAATACCGAAAGAAAATGCACGTTGCACAGGAAATGGTATACACACATGATCAAAGGAGCCCGTAAGAAGGAAACCGTCCGTGGCGCCAAGACATCTCACAGGCAGCTCGTGGGCCTTTCCCACCAGCAAGTCCGACTTTGGGTCCCAAACTATCCTCGCATTGAAGCCGCCCACACTGTAGACTGAGAAGTCTGGCCATGCCACAAAAAGGTCACCCTCGTCACGTGATGGATGCAAGAGGCAAAGGTGCTCCGGTGGTAGGTCCAGTGTGGAGCCGCAGAAGGACTTTATGGTTATTTCCCGCTCGCCGTATTCCCACAAATCACGCTTGTTATTCCGATCCATCTTTCGTGAACTTGGTGTCACCTGGGAGACGAGATTGGACGATGTGAAGAGGAAGGGTTTTCGGTAGTGCATGGAAAGGTTCTTTTGCTGGAAGGGGCCATTATTTGGTATCTGGATGTTAAGGAGCCATTTAGGGCAGTATTCCACTTTGGGGGCCTCCTCCGACGAAAGGTCGCTGGCTTTAGGGACACCTATGTCCCAGAATGAGATCTCGCCACTATGGCAGCCCACAATACATATCGTGCCCTCTAACAGTATGCTGACGACAGGTGACGGGACCGGGAAACTTGCGACTAACGAGAAGGCCCGACTCTCGACAGGTACATCCTCCTCATCTCGACGAGCGATGTGCACCATCATGTGCTGCAATATCCCCCGATATTAGCATACGTTGTCTCCTTCCCACACACACACTACACTACCCCCAGGAATTTGTGGTTTAATACCCATGTTCCAATAACCAGATGACCGCCTGCTAACGCCATAGCAGAAGCCGCTGGACGTGGACCCCGGGTGTCTCCTTCCCTACGATCGTCGCCCAAGCAGAAGCTGCTAACCGCCTTTTCCGTCTGGGTACTCCAAAACACCACTTTCCCCGAGCGGTCCCCACTTATGACCAGACTGCACACCGGATCAATCAAGGCCGAGAGAAGCACGTCCGCATGCTCAAAGGACACATTCAAGTTGGTTTTCCGCCAAGGCTTCCCGCTGTTCCATTGCTTCAAGAGGTAGAGATCTCGAAGTGCCAAGTCACGGAGTGTCGATAGGTCCGAAAAGTATGAGGATGCCGATAGACGCGGAAATCTCCGAAGAAGCTCCTGGGCAGTATTTGCCTTGGGAGGTATAGGATCCCGGCCATGTGTGACGTTGTTGTACTTCCTTAGGAGATGAGGAATGTATAATGAGTCGTCAATGAGCGTGTGTGAACGCCATGTACGACTCACTGCTGAACATGTGAAGATGTCTTTGATATCAAGCAGCGAGAGAACAAGTCTCGAAAGTTCTAGGGGAAGTTCCGAGATGAAGTCCCTCTTCAATTGTCTTCCTTCGAGTGTTGCCATGATGTTTCCGTAACACTTGGGTTTGGTACCTGGGAATCTATAAAAGAGATAATGGATTAAAATAAAAAAATAAAAAGAAGAGTTATGGGTGTGTGGGGTGATGGAATATAACGGACTAACTTACTGTTATCTTCTCATTAAAAGTATCCGGAAATAAGTCTTCTCACTGGAGAGGGGGGGGGGGGGGGGGGGGGTTATTGTGAGTACACAGTGGCAGTACAGAGAAAGAAACACGTTTTTTTGTCGACTCTGCGGAAATTCACCCCCATCGACGAGTATAAGAGGGCAGTTAAGAAGGGCTTCTTGAGTGACAGCTTACATGTGGTTGATCAAATGAGGGGGGCGATGCTCATAATGATATATGAGTAGTGTATAAATAAGCCCTTCCTGAATTCCGCTTTGAGGGCATATGCAGGACAAAGCTTTCTGCGTTAATCTTCTCGATACTCGGCAAATCAGAGTCAACAGCCGATTGGCGGCCAAACCTAGATAGGATTCGACCTGCAGGGGTATAATGTGGTTCCTGTGGAATTTGTCCTGGGGTAAATAGCAAAAAGGGTGTGTGATAACGCCTGAAAAGAGACGAGCCGAGACCTCGAACAGGGGACCGAGAAACTCAAAGAGGTGAGTGAACACTGATCTGGAAGAAAGAGAGACTAGAATGAGAAACAGGGGACCATCTGAACCTAGCTGGGTTGTACAGTTCGGTGTAACTGATGCAGCGCAAGCATGAGCATGAGCTACGGAGAAGAGTTGATATTTAGACAGGAAAAAAAAGATATCGTACGATCCCGGGGGGTCTCCATGAAATAAGTTTTCGAAAATGAAAGAGGTGGCATCATAGTTTATTATGCTCTTTTATCTCGGCGGGGGGTCTTCTAAGCCTTCGTTTTCTTCGACCGTCGAGCAAAGACAGAAAGAAAAAAAAGATTGTAGGATTAACCCATGGCATACCCTTACATACACACCCACCGGCGGTGCCTTTTTTCACCTCTCTTTCCACCACGAGGGGAAAACTTAGCCGAATCAAGTCAGAATCTCTAGGTCATGCTAATATTTAATTCCCCTCGATACAGGGTGTACGTACGTGCTCTACCTCTGTAGCACACACACGCATTCACACACACCGAGCACGCATACATATCCGTCCATACATACACGATACGATCGCTTAGGGAACCGCTGAGAGAAAAGTCCCGATACTGATCGGTTTCCACATCCTTCTCTCTTGCTTCTGCATCTTTTCTGTGTGTGTCTGGCTGGTCTGAGTCGTGTGTGCGTGTGTGTGTGCGACAACCACCGAGAAATATAGTAAAGAGCAACGCGCAATAGCCTTCTGCCTACAGCGGATAATATGTACATCATTTCCAGCTAACTTTAAGCATGCGGGTAGTTGCAGGGTCTGTGGGAACGCGGCGGATAAACGCGATGATAAAGGCTTGCCATCTTGTAAATCGAAGGGTGCTATATAGTCAGTTAGTGCGCTGGTTCATCCATGATCCATCTCATTGAACGCTCTATGTAACTACTACTCCCTAGGACTACATAGGAGATCTAGCCCGTTACCAGTACTAATGCCATTGAGCAGAGGATGTAGACCTCGAAAGGCGATGAGACATTTCGCGGGGTGTTTGCCTGACCCCGCATTCCGAATACCGAACGGCGAGGTTTCTGGCCTTGAGATCCTATCAGCACTCAAATCTGAAATCCTAGACCCCCAAGATGCAATATACCTTCAATCTATCGCTGCATGACAAAATCCGAGAATGCTGTAGATTACATAACCACATTGCAGACTGATATGAGTTTGTTGGCTGCTGGCTGCTGTGCAATCCATTTCTGCGCAGGATGTCGATCGAACCATTGGTTCCTCGACGTAGTAGATATAGGATATGTGAACAAAGACTTCAGCCTTAGAATACGCTATATCATCTTCGCTTCATCCTTCCTTTTCCTCGGGTAGTATCACTCGGTTGGAAAAATTTGGAATAGTGAACGCAAGAGGTTATTTTGGTTGATAAACATAATCACTGCACTGCAGCAGCTGTGTTTATGCATGGAACTTGGAGTGTGAGTAAACAAACTTTAACGGTTTTGCCCAACCCACAAACTGGGGCTGGAAGATCTGGGGTGTCTAAGTCTTTGCCACAAACATAGTTTTCATCTCTTATTCGATGTGGCTATGTATGTAGTTACACAGGAGCTATTTCTCAAAGGAGAGCTTCTGTCCAGACTCAGGCCTGTCGCACAACAGTGTGATAGTGATATGTATCGATAGCAGTGGTGTGTCTACTAAGCCAATATGGCTTTTGACTTATGTACGCACTTTAGAAGTACATATGTACGTCATATTACATGCCAAGGGAGGCAGCGTTAGCTAGCATTTTTGTTAATTACTGCGAGCACATTTTCTTCTGTGATACAAGCAGTAAAAGAGGCACAAGTACTTAAAGTTCTGACGCAACTAAACGCTTGTTACCCTGGTGTTACCTGCTCTGGTCAGCAGGTACAGCCTGCAAAAATCGCAATCTGCAGATTATATTTTTTACGGATACGAAATCGAGGGTGAGAGTTAGTGACAAGTCAAACACAGGTTATGGATTACACCCAGGGTTATTTCAACGTTTGAACGTTTGAACAGGTCTTATGTTTAAACAGAGAACATCATCACAAGTCCCTCCAAGGACTTTCAAAATAATAAGAGCTCAAGTCCTACCAAATTGCTAATAAACTCCTCTATATTAATCACGTGATACCAGCACGAATCCAGCAGTCAATCCGGTTAGCACAAATCAATTTCCTAATACGTTCTTTGTATCCTGATCGGCCGGAGTAGACGGGGATAAGATCCTTTAGATCTCCTGCATATGGTGCTGTATATATGCCCTTTGAACCCCATACTGACAGATCCGTCTTGGCCTCTAACTAACGCAAGGGGAGTGGCAAAGCTCCATTGTGCATGTAGTATGATAGATTCGGAAGGTTTCCGACTGGGAATAGCTCAAAGGACGTTGAATTCGAGAGATTCAACCGCTTTCCACAAATTTGAGGACTAATGTGCCACAAAACACAAGAAATGTAGCCAGTTTTTACTGCCAAGAAGGCAATCCATATACCTGCCTTTAGCTACAAACCGTTAGAAATATTCTCCAACGCTTGTTTGAATTCATACATTCAAATAATTCTCGATGTTATGGAGTACAAAGAACTCATCTAAGTGATATATAGGGGCCGTTAACAAACTTTGAATATAGAATCTCTTTAACCGGAACCACCGATAACCGCCTGCTTCTAACCTCTCCATGTCCATATCGTCGAGTGAATATCATTGCCTAAACAACAATCGCACGGGCCTCATATGTTAAAGAATATTCTTGCCGCGTACTACAAGAATAATGAGGAGAACTAAAGACAAAGTTAATGAAGACACCCACGGATATAATCTGAATAAAACTCAGATGCCTCAATACAATAGCCGATTCAATAGTTTAAAGCCTATAGCGGGTGTCACATATACAACACAGTGACTATAAGTCGATAGGAACCCGAGTAGATGATTAGGAAATGATTTTTGACCTCATGAGATATGGTGTTCAATTGCGTTATGAGCACCCTACCCTATCAAAGGGTCTTCCTAGAGGTCGATGTATAAGTACCACTGGCAAGATTGTGCGTACGCTTTTCGAGTACATACCTGACACGGGCCGAAACCCAACGTTTGATTGGGTATATCTCTAGCTGAAACTTGTTGATGGCTATGCCGTTATTTCACTGCCTACTTGAATATTTCCTCGGGGAATTCAAAACTCAGTTTATGAACAACTCGATCACGGCACTGTCAGGCGTAAAAGCACACAAGAAACAGTTGAGATCGCAAACTCTTACAACAAGGCGCTGTGAAGTCTTTAGAAGTTCGATCTGACCGATTATCAAAACCCCGCTTCTCAATGCCGGGCTGTGCACCCGATTGACCTTGCGTCTCTTATGATAACAGTTAAAGTTTTATCCAATGATCAAGGCGAAAGATGTCGTAGCGTTTCATAATTGTTTACTTTGAAGAACATCGTCAAATTCGATTATTGTAAATAGCCCTGGTATTGGTAAAGAGGACGGCGTCTAAGTAAAGACCCTACTCCAGATTCATCAGCCCGTTTGAAAACTTTATCAAACAATGAAACAGACACTCAGGCTGAGTCCAAAGGAGTCAAACATGGGCTTGACCTGATGAGTCCACGCAATGAAAAGTTATTTCAATGTCGGGGTAGGCGTGACTCGCTTCTCGATTAGTTTGGTTATCAAGCGAAGACTTTGGGGTGAGAACAATTCTTGGTAACCAAACACTCTTTGCGTGGTCTAGCGAACGCATCAGTTTTGTGTTGAATTTGTAACTGACACCTGGCAAACACATCCAGCTATGATTTTGAACGATAGGGCTACGTTAAATAGATAATAATGTGAATGGTGCGCTCCACGGAAGGCAATCAGGCCCGCCCAAGACTACGGATACTACAGATAACAAGATAAGGCCAAAAAGATTAATTGAATTGACTCCTATCGGCAGAATCAAAACCGGTCATGTGACCAGACCAACACAATAATTGATTACATAATGTGGAAGCCACTTGGTGGAAGCCACTCGGTTCACCTCCCGATTGATCGACGGATTTGGCCGAGTAACGAGCCCTGAAGTTCCTGGATGCTTGGTTCAAGCCGCGACTCTAAAAGACGTTAGAATATTGATGTTGACAAACCGGCCAACAAAGCTTAGTGAGCAGTAACATCGCGACAAGCCCTAACTTGGTTGGCAAGTTGGCCAGGGTCTTCGATGGCATGGTAAGTAAAGTACATGTAGTCCCTTTGGGTTTCTGCGGCAGATACAGTAACCTACATGTATATATCTAGGATAGTTATGCAGGTATTCGGTGTAGATTGCAAGATCTTCATTCGAGGGAATAGAGGGTAATTATTTATGCAGTTACAAAGTATTTTGATCGAGAGGC